AAAAAAAAAAAAAAAAAAAACGGAGGATCAAGATTCAGACTCAGGAGTAACCATGATACTAATTTGAGTAACAGGCTACGGATCCTGAGTAGATAATAATTGGGTTATTAATCTCGTCTTATGTCTCGCATAATAAACAGACAGGCAGAGACAAGACCTAGCAGAAAGAGAAACAAGACAGAACGGTGAGTAAGAAAGACAAAAGCAGAAAGGAAAATACCCTTGCTTTATTTATTATACCTTACCTAGGACTTGGCTTAGGTATAGACCAGGTGGCAGTATCCGTACTACAGTACGAGGTAGTTCTAGACAAGAAACTGTACCTGGATAAACAATAATCTTACTCCCAATCTCATCCCCATCTGCCTCCATTCAGCTCGGCTACAGCCTCCAGCCTCCAGGCCAGACCAAACCAGACTAACTTAGAGCCCGTGAATAGCTTGTTGGGGGCGTCGCTTCCCGTGCCGATTTGGCCGTGACTGACTAGGGGATTGTCACTGGACACATATTCTAGACTATACGATCGTCCACAGTAACGTACTATACCTACTAGGTAACCTAGTAACTTACTGGACAAGCCGTAAAGCCGCTCCAACAAAAGGTACATGTTTGTTTCTCCTCGGTAGGTTCCTAGGTAGGCATTCAGAAAGAAAATGCCTCTCGTGTCCTCTTACTTTTAGCCTGACCAAACAAACAAACAACTCAAACTTAGTTGATCCGTTCTCGTTTAGCCTCACAATACGTTAGATTATCCTAGGTACCTACCTAGTCGTCGTCGGTTTCGTGCCTAGTCCAGTACCTCGCCCTAGAGCTACATGTGCCTCATGTCGAATTCCATCGTATCGCATTGGGCACAAACCAAAAAGCCATCATATCCGTTCCCCTCGATTGGATCTTCCCCTCCATAACAGGCAACTCCTCCTTGGCTTTGTACTCTTGGCCTTGGCCTTATGGCTCCCATGGTGCCGATTGTCCGGGAACCTGCCAGATCGGAACTCTTGGTATACATCATTTATCTATATAGGACTATCTGACCAGAGGCATTCAACGCTGAAATCGTCGATCCAAATTGAGGTTTGAATTAATCAGATTGATACTGTACGGATACACTACTTCTGACTTCGAGTGAGACTAACCTAGCAATGGAAACATGATCTTCCATCACCGCTCAGACACGGAAAATGCAACAAGGATGCGTATGATCCTATGGATGGTAGACCAGTTGCTAATTTTCTGTTGTGGTTCTGTCACCGCTTCTTCTTCTTCACCTGGCTATATCGTCTGTACTTGCATGTGATTCCTTCGACTCAACCTGTTCATTCCCAGTAGCCATGCATAATGTATATCCATTCTCCAAGTCAAATTAATCTTTCAACCGGTATTCTACTTCCCGCTCTTTAACCAATACAAGCATAACAACTGCTCCCAACGTCACTGGAATGCATCAAAAACCCTTTCCTCATTTGAAACCACCTGGACCCTTGTTTTGGTTTTCTGCTTCTCTTCCTTTGCCTCAAGCTGAGACAACGCCCTAAAAGCCACTTAACGTTAGCTCTTTCGCCATCCCCCAATTCCCCATCCGAGCTCTTTTCCCTCAGGAGGACTTGATCTAATTATGCTCCGCTTCGTAACCAAAACGAACAAGAATAGCCCTCGCTCGATATTCGTCTCCAGTTGGGTCCATTCTGACTCTCCGAGACTTCCGAGCCCCCGACAAGGGAATGGCGCTGGATTAATCATGTGAGTTGATATCAACAGCATCATGTCCATGTCTCACTATAACTTGAGCTGAGACACCCAACAATTTTACAACCGCATAAGATCTTATCAAAGTGTTCGCGCAGCATCTGAAATTTAGAAAACATAAACGCCAACGACTGTATTCGTGCTTGCAATCCTATGCTACCTTAGGTATACTTTGACGTCCTAGCCAGAAGCAATAAATAATTCTCCAACCTAACGCCTTGACTCTGTAACATGTATATATGCCTTGTGTCCCTGTTGTTTTGACCCCCAAACTCCAGTCGCTATGTCGTCGTCGTATCACGTCAATGCTCTAATGCGCCCATCATAGCCAAGTCTACCCGCAAAGAAATGACCGTTCCTCATACGTCAGCTCAACATCTCCTGGTCACGTCTTCCTCTAGTCGTTTGAGGACGTTTACAGCATCCGCGAAAAGAATGTTTCCCCCTCCTAAACAATCGTTCGCCAACATCTCCCTTGCGAGACTGGCGACCCCTTGGGCTCCCTTCCGCTCACTCTGCATTTGTGCCTTGAAGGGCTCTTGGCACGCCACCTTCAAGATCCATCTCTTTGTGACTTCTTGCGTTGACACGATATTGGATGTCTCCTGTTTCTCCTCAAGACCGTAGGCCCAACAAATCAAGGTACAAACATATACGCCCCAATAGTCCGAGATGTCAGACCAGGGCATGGTTTCTTTCGGACAAATCTCCACTTTGTTGCAATCCGTCTGATCAGGTGAGGACTTCAGACCAAAGAAGGCTTTCAAAGCTCGCGCAGCAAACACTGCCGCTGTTGAAGCTGTGTCTGAGCTTCGCCATGCTTCCAATAGTTTCCGGTATTCCGTGAATAGACCCAAGTCAGTCAACTTCTTGTTGAAAACCCAACTCTTGCCAGACACAGATAATAAATAATACAGAGGTGTGTGGTGTAATGCCAAATATGTATTGGCAATGGCTGAGTCAGGGAACAATCCTAAGATAGGGCATGCGTTCGGCTGAAACTTTGTTGCATCTCCCACGATGTTCACTTGCATTGGGGTCTGACGCCGTGGAAGAAACAGTGAATATACAGCGAGGAAAACTGCTGTATCAAAAGCCGGAGCTGATGCTATATCTGAAGCGGACAGCGTCCCCAGGTTGGTGTTCGAAATGGTTTGGGGGTCCTTTCTTACCCTTAGCTTCGACCATGATTGACAGTCCTCTGCTTCCCAAGGCTTTGTCGTTGTAGCTGTGAGTGGAATTGGTAGAGTACTTGGGGAAGAGTAGTCTAAGCCGAGCATAGAAATGTATTGCCGTTCATGATACCATGAACTATGCACATCAAGTAGGAAACAGGCTGCCAATAACCGTCGTAGTGATTCTGCGGCAATCCAATCTTTCCAAGCTTGACGTTCATCTCCGGCGGTAGACCGAAAAGTAAAGGTACGTTGATCACGGACGACCTGTCGGAAGTTGAGCGAAGTGTTCGAATGAACGTTGTAAAGATAAAAGAAAGAAAAAAGAGAAAGAAAATGTATAATTGACCAGATGAACAAAGGAAAGAAGAAAAATAGAAAGGTGGTATCAAGTAAGAATAGAAAGAAAAATATAAGAGAAAGGGCAGAAGAGGAAATTAAGAATAACTAACCCTAGGGTAGAGAGAAGTGAATTCGGCAGAAGGTTGATGTGAATGTGACTTTCTGCCACGGAAGCGTGCGTAGTACTCGCATAATGCAATTGTTTGTTGGACTGGCATTGACCACTTTCCAACATGTGTAAACTAAGCGTATCAGCACCGGTCGATTGCTTCCTACGCAAGTGGTTATTCAACTCACCACTTTGGACTGTTGCCAGGCGTAAGCATGAAGTTGTGCTCCCTTCATACGATCGTCTGTGATGGGAATAAACTGGGTTGCCAGCGCGGCCATGGCACATTGCAGTACTTGTACGTGCTCCGTTTCTTCTTGAGGGACATTCTGGTACGTATGCTTGTGAACAATAGGATTTTTCGGGTGCACTTTATCCCAATAGACCTCCAGGTATCTAGGAATTGCTTCCTTGATAGCAGGGGAAAGAGACAGTGGCATCAAATCCTCGGTGCTCAACAAGCCTTCTCCTCCTGAAGACCCAGAGCCGCAGCCGGCCAAATTGAAAGCCCCGCCTGAAGTTGGTAGCGATGGAACAGCTACTAAAGTCTCAGATTGAGGAACAGCCATTGAAGGGGACACGCTACGAACTGTAGAAGTTGGAATCTGATTGACAGTGCCGAAAGAAGGGTCTTCGTGATAGACAGGTAGAGGAACCTCCATGTCTGGGAAGACGGATGGGTAGACCTGTGGTGGGGTGCTGTTGCTGTACGGATAAGAAGCAGAATAGGGAGTATGATTCATAGTGTTCAACATGTCGTTGGAAGAGTTCGGGTAAGCCGGTATAGGGTTCGTCCAAGGCTCCATCCCAGAGAACTGCTGACGTCTTGCATTCTCAGGAGGAGTTGAGAACTCGCTCGGGGGCGCCGAAGTACCTTGCCATAATTCTGGCGTGACATTGCCAGGCAACATGGGGTTTGTTGGGAAACTACTTGGCCCTGGTAGCGTAGTGTCCAATTCATGGTAGTTGTTTGGTGTCATGTAGCTGTCTGGTCTGTCTGTCTCGGGCCTCGGATTGTAGCTGGGTTTTGAGTTGGGCGTATGGGCCATTGTTGGCCAAGGTGTAGGCACATTCCGGTGAACTAATGGATGAGGATCGACAAAGTCTTCGTTCGGTTTAAGTGTCGGTTTGTGTGGAGTCACTGCTCGGGGTAGAGTATATGGCTTAGAACTCTCTCGGCCAGGAGATTGTCTTGGTTCTTTGGCAGAACCGTCTTGGTTACTAGACTTTGTCAGCTTCGAGGCGATTGTAGCACCGGACATTAACATACTGTTTCTGAACATGTCGGTCGAGAAGGTCCTTGCGATGGAAAGGCTTGTTACAACTGGGTATAGGGCAACGGAGATCTGGAGGTGAGTGGCCGAGCTGATGTCGTCTAGACCACAACACATTAGCAACATATATTGATCAGATAGAAAAGACAAACCTCAAGTGTTCTGCCCTAGTAAAAGTCTGGTCGTGTTAGCAAGTGGTAGTTGCATGATATGAAGAGGAGCGTTACCTTATGGCATTGGTGGCATTTGTGGACTGGGATGCCTTTCTTGGCTTTGCTAATCTTTCCAGTAATTGGGGTCCATCTGACATGCGGTTCGCTGTCCCCTGAAGCTGTGTAAGGTCTCATGGAAGTGTTTGACGATGAGTCGTGCTGAGAAGAGCCGTATGACATATCATTAGAGTCGATACTCATGTTGCTACGACGTCGAGTGTTCATGTTGAGCTCGGTGGTGGTCGGTGATGAGTGATCAAGGACAGAAGGTGACGTGGATGATTCTGATGGATCAGGCAGGTTGTTATGAGAAGAAGAGGGTGCTTGGTGGTTTAATGATGTAGCATAGCTTTGAACAGAGGAGGACCTTGAAGTCAGGTCGGTGGAACGGGTCTCAGATCGAGGATCGACTGGCTCGTCCTCGGTATTCATGATATTCTTGAGACTAGCCATGGCCCAGAGTTGATAACAGAAACACGAATTTAAAAAAGGCAACGAGTCCGGAGAATTGTTGAAGGTCAGGCCAAACTTAGTAAGACACAGCCCCCCAATAGAGACGGATGAGCAGGTCCCGGCAGATGGAAGAGTTTAGGCTCATGTAACGAAGGTGGGCGATGAGGGTATAGAGCAGCAAGTGAGAGTAATAGTGGGGGAGTTGATGTAGAGATTCATTAAGATCAAGATGTGTGAAAGGGATGGACGGCTAAGGCTGGGGACACAGCGTAGGCGATGCTAGTCTCGGGTGATAAACAGGGATGCATGTGGATGTTCGGACGGGGCTCAGTGTAAGTGAGATATTTACTCTGGTACTAAGATAGGGACCAAGAGAGGCATTGCTAGTTGAATCTGGGCAAGGTTTTGGATAGTCGAGAAAGAGTTAAAGATGGAGCTGCAGGGGAGAGTCGAGGTGACTGACCCAAGGTTGAGGACAACCCTGCGAGCTGAGCACGGGGCGCAGGGCCTTGATGCATGGATAGACAAGATTAGATGTTCTGTGAAGTCACCGAGTATGTAGTTAGGGGTGGATGATGCAAGGCACTTTGGGGAGCTGGGCATGCTGTAGGGAGCATGGATGAAATGTCCCCAAGACCATGAGAAAGGTTGTGTCGTCCAGTACCATCATTGTTTGGTTTCATTCATTTTGGTTTGGTTTGGGTTGGTTTGGTTTGTCTCGTCTGCCCATGTGCCACCCCTTCACGTTGACCCTTGTCAGATGCTTGCCGCTCCCTGTTCGTCGAGATGCAATGCGACAAGTGGCGGGACGGGGCCGCAAGCGCCATCTAAGCCTTCAAGGAACGGTACCTGATCAAGCGACTAGCGCCCAGACATAGTGCGGTGCGGTGCGGTGCAGCACAATAAGTTGCAGCATGAGAATTGAGAACTAAAGTCAACGTTAGCTTAATCATTCCCGACCCATCCGATGTCCTGCGTATGAATAAGTCGCGCTTATACAGCTGTCCAATGCCTTGTGAGGAGAGACGCGATGGCGGCGACGATCAGTAAGAATGATTTGTATTGTTAGCACAGGTGCAACCAAGGCTCAAGCCTTGTAAGCAGAGAAGCAATTGCGAGGCATAGCTGTCGAAACATCTTGACCTTGGAGCTGGGATACTGTACTGGGGTTCAAGAGCTTGAGTAAAGCACTGAGACAGTGTGGGCATGAGCGTGTGCGGGTAGGGCGTCAAGGCGCCTGTTGGTGGCTGTTTTAGAAGCGATCATGACAACGACCATACCCATCAATCACATCACACTTAACAGGGGTTGATGATAGTGGAAGGGGAAAAAAGATCCAATACAAAAAGAGGCTGAGCCGAATCAAGTTGAACTGCCCGTAGACTACTGCTAAATTCCTTTAGAGTGCAGGAACGGCGGCCGACTGGGATGCTTTCCCTTGCCTGCTTCCACTTGCACTTGCATCGCTGACAGGTACCGGCTGACAGTACAGTAGGTAGGTACTCTCCATTGTGCCTTCCCAAGCTGACAGGAAACTGAACTTCCGACTGGGTAGTAGGTAAGCAGACAGCCCAGTACCTATTATTAACGCAAATCTGCAGTGTAATCAGTACTGATATTGACATTATTAATGTTGAAGTTGGAGTATCATCTTGTTTATTGTGATTATTTGAAATTCTCTCGCTTCGCTTGCTGAACCGCGTTATTGCCAGCCCAGGTCCCATGTCGAATCCTCACAAGTGCTTATCCATTGAACCCACCTATAGCCTGATGGGGCCAGAGCGCCGTTAGACCGCTGTTAACGTGGTCTGTGTTGATTTCTTGGCCCGAGATTTCTTAAATGTGATGCAAAAAATCATGGCATCTGCTGCATGATTAGCTAGCTTCCGGCCAAACATCACTTGTTTCCCCCCCTCGTCAATCATGGATAATGTGAAGTCAATTAAATCCATGCTGGATCCGTTCCCCTGGTAGCGCCAATTTGAATCCTTGTCTAGGTAAGTTGTTTGTACAAGGGTGTTATTAGTCCAGCCTTGTCGGGCGCTAGGGCGACCAAGCAGAAATTCCTTCGAGGACACACTGAGACTCAGCCACGCGAGGGTTCATTGGTTGATGTTTCATGATGACCTGACGTGATCTATTTTTACACTCGACACAGCAGCTGCGCCTGTCAAACCCTTGTAAGTTGTCAGTAGCCCACCTATTTTTCGCTTGCAAGTGCAATGAGCTATGAGAGAGTCATGAGCGTCATGATGAATGCTTGTTACATGATCGACAGCTTACGGGATTTAATTAACTTGAGACGAGGCATTCTTCTACTCACGGATCAACCAGACGACTCGAACAATGCCTTACGTTTCGTTTTAATTAATACTGCTATCAAATAGCGGGCAGTGCTTCTATCAAGTTCATCTCTGTTGACTTCCATAGACCCCAGAAGAGGTGGGGCCCGGTCCGTTCCCTTGTTCCACCGACTCCCCCGCCTTTTGGCTAGAAATGGAAATGCCAACATCAACACCAACGCCAAAAGACGCACGACGCACGACACAAGCAAGATGCGTGCGCGCTTCCTAAATTAGGCCAACATATTTCGCTGCGTGTTTCCCATCGCATTGGGTCTAGTAATATCCTTCTTTTGCACTTCATGAGCCCCAAATATGCTGTAGGATTCGGCCCGCACGGAGAATATTCTTCTTTCATGCCCTCCACGCGACCTGCAAAAGCACTGTAACCACATGTGCGTGTGCGTGCCAGAGCGGAAGATCCCCGGCGCTTGAGATCCGACTATTTTTATAGTTGAAGCCTCTTGTTGACCAATGTCATATCAACAAGAAGCGGCTTTGCCAAATGTAGATCTTGTTCGAGTCGAGCCAACATGTCGGTTTTGAGTTGCCAAGCTCTTCGCTAACGTACCTAGATCCCGTCCCATGAACGCATCCCTTTACTAACACGGCCATTTTTGCGACTAAACTTTCAGCACCGATGCGCCTCTGGTCTGATTCGCATGTGTTCTTCTGCGAAAGGAAGCAGATCTGCGCGTGGGGAAATGCTTACAATTTGGTTACCTTTGCGTACCACTCATCATCTGTTACTCCAATTCTTCCATACACCGCAACTCTGCTCGACCTGCGAATCATACAGCACAAACCTTGTCCGCTTCTCCTTCTTCAAGGAGATCGGCTGGAGTTTACCGTTCCTTTTCGGACGAATATGCGGATATGATGTAGTGTCCTTTGCATCCATGCCTACCCCGACAGTTGGGTTTTACAGTCATCAGCGTATTAGAATTGGCCGCAAGAGCCTAGAGAACAAAATAGTGCACATGTTTAATGCCGTTTTAGACTAGCAACTGGACTATGGTGTTTTGGTGCACTGAGCCTTGGATGATGGTACTTTTTCTGATCCACAGTAGAGTCAAGCCAGCGGTAACATCAAAATCCAATCGTATACCCTAAGTCTGGGAGTATTCTGTTATCTACTGTCTATTTGTTATCTCTTTCATTCGTCTCGGCGATTTCTGTATTTTGCTGCCAGCGCACCGTCACATGCTCATGCTGACTATTTGATCAGCAAGTTCAGCCTATCCAAACTGATATCCCGCACACTACGCCGCAACGTCTGAGGGTGTCCTTATAATGGAACGTTACCTTAAATAAGCATTCATTTGAATATGGACGGTTCTATATGATCTGCGTATGAAATAGCCGCTCGATTTAAACGCCAAACAAGCGCCACCGCCCCCATATCGTGGCATATTGTGTCTGCGCCCTTTGGAGGCTTGAATACCCTGGAGACATCTGACTCGGGCTGACTTACTCCGATCTTCAAGCCTTAACAAGGGGCTCATGCATGCCGACTTGGTAAGCTGGGCAATGAAACCTAAATCTAATTCGAGATCGAATTATGCGAATCCGAGTTCTCGTGCAGTTGTTCACTTGTAGAGGAAACCGGCAAATGTAGTAGATGACGTGTGAAACACTCGAGTTCAAACAAGACGTAATCTCTTCAAATTATCTCGTCCAACTGCAGTACAAGAGGTACGAAACAGAGGAATCTGGCCCAGCAGCGTACTAAGATCCTTCCCTAGCCGCAAGAGCATTCAATACATAAACAGAAGCCGGAACGCCTTGTATACCGGCCCTTTATTAAAGCGTATAGCCGAATACTGATTAAAGTAATAATCCAAAGCCAATTGCACAAAACACCTGCCGTCTCTTTTGCGGTAGCCCTACCCTCTTTACCATTCGGACATGTTTTTATTCAATCTCCCATGCTTGTAAAGATGTACGGCTCGGTTTATAGCTTAGATGAAGCGGCCGCTGTGGGTGTGTTTGACGAGTCCTTTGATGAGTCCTTTGGTGACTTGGCGTGTGCATCGCTCTCTTCGGACTCGTCATCGCTGGGTGGTCGGCTGCTATCGGTCATGTTTCCTCGACTCTTGGTCATCTGCATAGTTGTTAGTCAGGCCAAATATTCAGTGTTGGATCTCTACTCACCCATCCGCGAACACCACCGACGAGGCCGAGGGCGTAACCAGTGATGAACTCCTTGGGTGTACCAGAAGCACCAGGGGTAGTAGGCGAGCGAAGTCCCTCGGAACGCAGACCCTCAGCGGTGCCTGCACTGTTAAATCGGGCAGGGCTCTGGGGACGGCTGACGGGCCAGAACTGCTTCAGCTCGCGACCAAGTTCTTGGCCAGTGGTGGACCAGTTGTTTGTGATGTTCTCTCGCAGATCCTGGACGTGGCGCTTGAGGTCCAGCTCGTTCTTCTTGAGCCAGCTGACGTTGAGTTCCTGGCGGGATGTACCACGCTTGAACTGTCTAGCAATGTACTTCTCGTAGTCGCGAACGATTCTACAGGCGTTAGAATAATCGTAGAAACGAAGGTGAAAAACCGCCTTACCTTGTAATGAGGCCAGTGGTGCTGACACCCTCTGTGCGCTGGGTAACAAGGAACTTGCCAGCAGCCTTGATGGGCTGGTAAATGTCGTCACCCTCATCAGCACCATAGGGAAGATCATCGTGAGCAACGTAGTCGAGCTTGTTCTCGTCGAGGAACTCGGGAGTCACAACCCATGGGCAGTCCTCGATAACCTCATCGACCCATTTGCAGTGGCGGAGGGTCTCAGCACGCTCAGCGGCAGACATGACGGTCAAACCCTTGCGCTTGTGTGTTTCGTGGTCGCCTGTGACACCGACAACCAGTGTTGTGTCGGGGAAAGCCTTCTTGGCCTGCTCGAGTTGTCGCATGTGGCTAGAAAGCTGTTAGCACAATTCGGCCGCAATTGCAATCCAGCCCACTCTGTACTGCCAGAGAAGCAGAATGTAAGCAAGCGGAAAACATACCCAAGATGGAAGAGATCAAAGACACCATCGGCGTAGACACGGACAGGTCGTCCAACAGGAGGAGGGTTCGTCTTGTAGCCACCAGCAGGGTCTTGTAGTTTGCCAATGGGAGGAGGGGGCATGGCCTCAATTCGGCGTTGCTCCTCCTCCTCGAGCTCCTTCAGTGAAGGCTGGCGTCCTTTGCGACCGACACGCTCAGCAATGTCGACGCTGGCCTCGGTGGTGTCGCTGGGCTCACCGGGGTCGACGGCATTATCACGGTTCGAGCTGGAGCGTTGTCTCTTAGGAATTGGTGCTGAACCGCGAGCGTGAAGGCGTCCCGACTCGGCGGCAGTAGTGTCACCCTCCTCGCCTGAAGCATCGCGCGAAGATGTCTGGATGCCATTGTCAAGGTCGGTGGTGGATTCGACGCGAAGGGAATTTCTCTTGCGCTTCCCGCCTTGAGATGATCCGGATGGTGAGGACATGGCTGCTAGATGAATTGGAAATGACGCGGCTTAGGTTGAGGTTGGGGTAGAGGTTCGGGTTGTGGGAGAGAAAGAGGAGGGAGGAGAGAGGTTCTTTTTAGCAAGCAATGCCCCAGTGTCTGATGGATGCCCGGGATTGGACTGTGTCCTTAGTTATGTGCGTGAGGTGCTAGGAAACAAGACGGGGAAGTGGAAGACACAAGCATCAGTCGAGTTCACTGCTGTAACTTATGAACCTGGAGAAACGGTTACGGATACCGAAGCACCTAGTTCCACGTTGACGCGAAAAAAACCGGGTCTGGGATTTGGGTCTGGACCTTCTGCCAGAGCTGATTGGGTTTGGAATGTTTTGATCCTTGCAAAAGTCTGGGGGGTCCAAAACTTGGCTCGCCTTACAGTAGCGTTTTAGACGGGAGACCTCCAATTTGAAGGGAATACCGTCATCGGGGGCAAGTTATGATGATTGATAACGGGACAGAAACAAGGAATGCGGCAAAATGCACTGGACCAGCAAGATAAGAAATGTCGTGAAGCCATCCATCTTCCACAGCTGCAGGTTAGCTAGCTGTCAGGCTGTATCGTCTCTACTCTATACCCCCTATTATGTGCCTGCCACAAAAGAACCTTACCTTGAAATGACAGACTTGATCTAAATTAAAAAAGTGGTCCAACACTCTCGTGTCCAAAAAGGAGAGCAATCTCAAAAAAGTTAATAGCTCAGCCACCGTATAGAGATACTAGTACTGTAACCCATTAACTAGGTGTTAAGTTAGATGAGACAGGCAATTGCTCTCGTGACAGTCTATGCTTGTCGGCTTTAATTGTGCTCAACATGAATCTTGAGCATCTTAATGTTAGTTTTTTGACCCGCAAGTTAAAAGACTATTGCTGCTCCGAATGTCAATATTCTCCAGTTTTTGAAGCCCGTGGCGTCATCATTGCGGCCCCCTAATCATCAGTCTGGTTCGACTTCTAAGAAAAGGGGAAGGAGAAACCCGTGGAAGAGATCTACACGTCACATGACAAAACACGTGTTATATTCACGACACGAGATGAAGATGATACAAGTTCAACTACGTCGATATATCAAGGATGAAAGCTCAACAACTACTCCAAGTAAGCTTTTGGAGAGCTTTCGCATTGATTATAGACGGACACCTTCGCTGTTGCACTAGAACACCATCTTGAAGCTTAGACCCAAGTCTTCCCCAGACGAGTAGCTTGCACCCTTGGGATCGCAGCCAGGAATACGACTTCAGACTCAATTGTTGATGCAACTGTGACTCGGCAAACTGGAGAACCAACGGGGTTTGCCAATTGATTTATGCTCATGATCAGAGAACATTTCTGATGGATTCCTCTCTTCCAGGATGCAAAACATTTCACGTCTCAGGCTATAAGTCCCTGGGCCTGCTCTACTAGGATCTGGTTTCTACATCAAACTAGCCTAAAAGCATGATGAGTTCCCAATACGATGTTTAAGCTTTGATTGGTTGACTTGTGAGTATCCTAGTCGATCATGGTGAGGTAAAATATGGATAGTGTATTGATCAACAATACGAAGTCAAAGGGATTATTCATTAACGCAGACTGTCAATCAACAATACCCTTTCTGCTGACCTTGGAAGCCAGAAACTTGACTCGGCTGCATTTCAAAGGATCCAACTGTGCAACAAGGAAATTAATCGGTCCTCATTTCCGTTTCCCCATTTTCGATGAAACCACCAACTCTTTTGCTTGGCTTGCACTCCTTCATCCATATGGTAAGCGACCAGGTGGTCACTTACCCGGTTATGCTGTTGGTCTCGAAGCGAACCGGGACACCTAACCCCTCTGACTTATTATTCTTACCCTTTCCAATGCCCGCCAATCCGAGCAACTCGGTTATCAGACCCTTCGAATAGACTTGAGCCAATGCTTCTTTTTATGCAGCCAGAAGCATTCAGAGCTGAATGGCACCATCCCAGTAAAGGTTTCAGTGACAGACCAGCTGCCGTTTCGTCTAGCGCCTCTTCGGTCCCTGCTATTAGCTTCTTGCACAGGGTTAACATGCTTGAGTCTCGACAAAGCAGAATACTTGCATAATAGGCGCCTGTATATAAGGCGAGTGAAATCCAGGACCATCATGTTTTGGCTTCTCGCGACAAGCTTTGTACTTTCTCTCGTACCATTCTCTACCAGTTACGGGCAGGATTCCGTATAACATTCGTTTATCACATACTATACTCTCATTCAGCCAATATACTTCAACATGCGGACTTCTGCTTTTCTGACGATTGCCAACTTTGGGACAGCTTTTGCTGCTGTGCAAATGTACGGCCAGTGTGGTGGTAGTGCTTACTCTGGAGATAAGGAATGCCCTTCTGGATCAACCTGTGTCGAGGCCAGCAAGTGGTACAGCCAATGCATCCCCAATGCTTCCTCGAAGAAGGCTCCTTCAGTTAAGAAGACTGACTTCGAGCTCCCTGACTTTGGATTTCCGGGATTTCAAGCACCTCCTCAAGTTCCTGCTGAGGGCGACAACAATCAAGGCGGTGATAACGGCCTCACTCAACCACCTCCTGCTCCCGAAGACCCTGTCGATCCTCCCACTGTCCCTGCTCCTGAGGAGTCCGCAGATGTTCCCCTTGTTGCTCCTACTAATGAGCCCACCGATAGCGGCTCTGGCTCTGGCTCGGGAAGTATCACACGAACCATCCCTTCTTCCAGTGGCGCCACCACAGTTGCTACTGCTATTCCTGTCTCTGGCGAGCTCGATGGCGGAATGACCTACTACGATCGATCCCGTAAGTCCGCCGATATAAAACTGTCATGCCTACCTGGTTAACACGAACCAGCTGCCGTCTGCAAAGACCAGGAAGAGACTGGTGAGGCTGATGCCATGTTCATCCTCGAAGACGGAGCTACTCTTCGTAACGTCATCATTGGACCAGGCCAGGCCGAGGGTGTTCACTGCAAAGGCTCATGTACTCTTGAGAATGTCTGGTTTGAGGATGTGTGCGAGGACGCCATCACACTGAAACAAAAATCAGGCACCTCTGTCATCCGCGGAGGCGGTGCTTTCCACGCTGCCGACAAGGTTGTCCAGTTCAATGGCCGCGGCACTGTTGAGATCTCTGACTTCTACGTCGAGGACTATGGCAAGCTTGTCCGATCTTGCGGCAACTGCAAGGACAACGGAGGCCCTCGAAACGTTGTCATCGAAAACATCGCTGCCGTCAATGGTGGTGTTCTTTGCGGTAGTAAGTTCACCCCTTATGGTCTTTTTACTTGTGACTGACATGATTACCAGTCAACACTAACTATGGCGATACTTGCACCATCTCTAACGCTTGCCAAGACAAGGGCAAGAATTGTGATCTATTTGAGGGCAATTCTGATGGTAGCGAGCCTACCAAGCTGTCCAGTGGCCCTGATGGTACTTTCTGCAAGGTCGATAGCTTCTCTGAGACTTGCTAAGTGGGTGATATGATATACATGGCCATGGAACGCAGCATGACTCTGCGACACCCGTAGTATCCGATTCAATCGTTTTCGTACTGCCAGGATAAGAAAGTTGTTTTGATGATCCCGTATGATGCTTGTCTTCCGGCAGTGGGGTTTTAGACGAGACCGAATCACGGCTGATAGAGACATGACCCCATGTCAACGCTTCACTTTTCACGTTCTCGAAGCTTTCATCCGAAGATTGCCGTATGATTTATTTGTTGACTCTGTTAACCGATGCTTGTTAGTTCTGTTTAAATACCGATTGGCAGAAGTCAAGGTACTGATTGGACTCGGTTGGCTTCCTTTGGCGGGCCTGTGCAAGACGTCAAAGCGGAATACCACTTTTCATGGATAGGCTCTTAGCCAAGCGTCTGAAATGTTTGTTGATCATTTCACTTTGTTAGGCAATAATATAGGCGAGGGAATATGAAAGGTTCGCTCGTATTGCTAAAGGCGTATTCTACTTCTATCCAAGAGCCAGGGTCCCGAGACTAGAAGAAACAAGACTTCGCTCCAGATATCCTTAGTATCAGTATCAGCCTCGCTCCACTTACTGTCTTCAACCAATGACTTGAAATTCTTCTACAAACATCATGAAGGTGTGATCAGGATCTATGGCAACGCTGGCGACAAGGGATATGGTTATGCGAATTGCAGATAAGGAATGCAGCTTACTATAATACAGTACACATTGGTGTTTGAACTTGAGACACATCAGAGGTATTACATATTGCTATAGTAAAGGTCAAGAGTAAGGAATCTTGAATATCGTTCTCCTTCATTGAGGCTGGATAAGGTAACTCGGTGCCGTGGTTTGCTACGTTGCTTCTCATGTTTAGTTATCATTAAATGAAATCAACAACAGTGGTCACCTTCAATTGCCCTCACATATTTAAGAAGCACTTGGGCTAAGAAACAAGCCATACATCAGCTGGCAGGTTGTAGTAGTAATCTATTCCTCGTTTATAAAACTACGAGTAAGAACGGCTCAAGCACCAGCCTAGAGTGTCATGAGATCTCTTACTGATCCCACCTTTCGGTGTGTCTCAACCAAAACCCATGATCAGTAACCCGAGACTGGTGAACTGTAAGTTTGAACATCATCATGAGTGCTGATGATTTCGTTACGAACTAGACTACAGGCCGTTATTATTTCCAGACGGGATAATTCATATTTACTGAGCATTCTGGAGGCCGAGAACCTGTATGGGAAACTGTAGAATGCTGCTCCACTTAGGTGTCTAAGACGGATAGTGAAGCACAATATCTACGCATCCAGGAACGGGGGAAATCATTAAACCAAGTCTGGAAGAGTATGAGAGTAGCAATCTCGATTGAATATAAAAGTGCTCAATCAAAATTTTGCTGTCGTGAGTGAAAGCATCTCGAGACTAAGGATACCGAAGAACATGTTATACGCCAGCGGCGTAGTATGTAATCTATAAAAGATTGCATTTACACATGCAGATGCGAATTGATTAAAGACTGAGTTTATAATATCTCCTTTTTTTATTATGTAGAATATGTGCTGAAAACATCCACGGTTATCTTGCCTGAGGAGGTCTTCACTTACAAGAAGCCTTACAGAGTCCATTTACAGCTTAACCTCCTCCACCCTTCGAGCTCACTGTGCCAAATTCAAGTTTCAGACAAATATGGAATTAACTGATCATATGAACATAGGCTCATTCACCAGAGGATCAATTTTGATATACACCAAAGAAATCCCTTATCAACTGGCTTGGCTGGTAAACAGTCGGTCACCTGACCGTCAGACGGTCGCCCCATAATTTATCCGAGAGAGCCCTAACCGGGCAGTTTCTTCATCGCACTTTCCACAACTGAACTTTTCGATTCCCCAAGCGCAGGATTAGACTTCTTTGCGACCGAAAACACCACAAGTCCCTCTCAGACACCACAAATCCCAATCCATTCGCAATGGCTCCTCAGGCAGTACGTACATGACATCGCTTTGCTGTTAGGCGCCTCCTCAGTAGAGGAGGTGGCCGCGACAAAAATGCAGTAGGCTAAGTCATTTCAACAGAAGAAGTCGGGCAAGGCCCAGAAGCAGACCAAGAAGGTACGCTCTCCGATATGAAAAATCGCAATCGAACCGACGAAAAGAACACGAGACGGTTTATTCGAAGCGATCCCCGATACCGAAACGATACGACGAAAGAACGCATTCGCTAACTAATATCGTGCAGTACATCATCGATGCTTCTCAGCCTGCCAGCGACAAGATCTTCGATGTCTCCGCCTTCGAGAAGTTTCTCCAGGACCGCATCAAGGTTGAGGGCCGCACCAACAACCTCGGCGACAACGTTGTTGTCAAGCAGCAGGGTGAGGGCAAGATCGAGATCACCGCCCACAACGAGCTCTCTGGTCGTTACCTCAAGTACCTGTACGTTTTTCTTCGGCCCTCGCTTCGCCCGCCGGAGCTTGAAGATTTGCAGAGATGAAATACTAACATTGCACAGGACCAAGAAGTTCCTCAAGAAGCAGCAGCTCCGTGACTGGCTCCGCATTGTCTCTACCTCTCGCGGTGTCTACGAGCTCAAGTTCTTCAACGTCGTCAACGACGAGGCTGACGAGGACGACGAGTAAACGAAACAAATTGCAATGCATTGCAACGGCGCAGGAATGGATTGGTGAATTGGGATACGGGATCGAAAAAAGTTCAAGGACTTGGCCAATAGACCCAGCCATTTGTGTGGCACTCTTTGTGGTGTTCATATTACTGTCTCCCGAAAATCTCTGTGACTGTTGTGCATTGTAGAATTGTGAACTATGTGATATGCCATGCTGTCGCTTCTCTTCATATAGGCCAATGCCTTTACATGCCGTTCTTCCAATGGGTATGATGCATATTCATTCTTGCCCTTGCATTACTCATGGCAAGGATCTCATAACGCCTTCGAAAGCAACCAAAGCCATAGCATTCGCCGGGAACGCTCTCAAGAAACAGGGCACAAAGCCTCTCCAGTAGCCCTTCCAACCACTTTCCTTATAGATAGCAGTAGCTGCGTCCTTCCATCGAGGAAATCTCTGAACTCCGTCATTAAGCCCTCCTCCCAGAGGATCAGTCATGATACGTTGCTTGACCACATCGCTAGGGTAACTCGTCAACCAGAAGACTTGTGCACTCAGACCGCCTGCCCAGAAATTCACAGCCGGTGTGCTGAGGCTCGTCTTCTCGCGCAGTTGCCGTGAAATAACATCGTAACTGCCCCACCAGCAGAAAAAGAATGCTCTGAAGAGAAGTGTCGCTGAGAGGCCGTGGTAGACACCCTGAATGCCATGGTGTCGGTAGATCTTTTTTAGACAATCAATTGGGCCAGCGTATAACCTGTCCGACTTTTGCGCAGCATACTGAATCTGAAGTCGAGCTTTGATGTGCTCAACTGGCGCAGCGATGAAGCTCACTGTCGATCCAGCCATTACACCCGCGATACCATGGCCGAAACTTGGAAGCGCCGTATGTCCTTTTGGTGCTGTACCTGGAGAAGAAGCCGTGACATCAGTGCCCACCGGCTCAACATTGAAAACATGTTCTGACAGAAGCCGGCGATACACTGTTAGTGAGCCCAACATGACCGAGTCCATAAACATCCATCCTACCAAAGGCGGCGTAGCACCCTTGTACAGCCCGCGAAAGCCCTCATTGCGAATAGTCTGTGAGACACATTGAATAGGGCCTTTAAAACGGCTTGGATCTGTTGTTTGCAGACGGACTTTGATGGTGTCGAAAGGATGGCCGACTATAAAAGATTAGTTTCTCTTCAGAGTAACGTCATGATGAGGAAGAAAGCTTACCAGATAGCTTGGCTATGCCACTGAAGACGCCTGCAATGAAGCCTTTGTAATCATTCGTCTTTTTCTTTGTTTGGTTCCCTTGTAATTTTAAGGACTCTGTCTCTTTCAGATTGTGCTTCCCTTGCACGTCTGCGGCCATTGTGTATCTGAGCGACTCAAAAGAGTCTATTCGTCACCACTCAACTTTTGCGGCAGCGCACAATCGCACTGGCGATGATAAGAGGAAGGGAGTGTTAGTCTAATAGCCGTGTAACCAATATTGATAATGGCTAGATTGATGACATGAGGGGAGATTTCTCGTAGACATCAGCAGATGAAATGAGAATGAATGGAAATTGGATTTCAAAACTGCTCGATCCAGAAGTTGAGTGCTGACGGTTACAATATTTTGGATATCGACTGCTCGTTATTCGCCGAGTCCGGGGAAGGTCCCTCACTAAATTATAACGATATGGGTCTTGACACCGGTCGTCGGAGGCAGGGACCTGGAGGCTCTAACCGCCTCTGAAGATCTTGTGCATTACAGTGCCCGGAGTCCTCTAGCCTCCCCGGCATACCAGTATCCATCTTGGAGGCCGATCCTATGCGGCGGGTGTCGAGCTAGACATCTACACCAAGTCAACTGGTTCCAGTCACCGACTTCACTTGATATGGAATAAAAGACTAGAAAGTAGTTGGAGTTGATATCCATCTCGGATTCATATCAGTTGATTCTTCTCATCCCCAAGTACAACCAATATAGTGGTATCTATCTCGCAAAACTAATAAACTAAACCTATCTAACTTGAAATATGTCCACGCACATCCGTATCAACTTGTGCTTGCGAGTTATCATATGCCTGTCTTTCCCCTTTGCGCTCATAATATCCAGTCCAAAACAAAACATAAACCAATGTTGCCCGCAAATCAAACCATTTGACGTATCGCTCTGCAATTAGAAAGCCATGTCGTATCGTCGTCAAGAATCGAAGCAATAGCCTCTTGATGCAAATGTGTTCCTTTTTCCCTTTTGCTTTTTTTTGGTATTTTCCAACACCCGAGATCCTTACTTCTTCTTCCCTTTGTGTCATTAAACCCTTCGACGGGTTGCCCGGCTGCTGCTGTGCTAGCCATCGCTTCCTGCACTCTATAACTTCTTCTTCCGCTTGAAAAGTCATCTGTTCGAAGGCCGTTTCATGTCCATAAAATTTCATACAGTTGACACACACTAAACGCCTACGTGTGTAGGATGCAAAGTCGTGTCAAGAGAAAACAAAAGCGCCGTGTCATTCTTTGAAATAACATCAGTATCCTGGTAACGGGCGGATGCTACGACGAGCCCCCTTCTAAAAGGTCTCCGTATCATCCGTGTTGTGAGAGGCAACACTGCCAAAAGTATCTGCTTCTCAGGTTAGTCACTTGTCTGGTTATGTTGTTGAGACTGAAACTTACCTCGCTTGCGTCGGCGAGACTCTTCCTCAGGGCTCTTGGGAGTCATGGCCCGAGGACCACTGGGTCGTCGAGTAGGAACGCCCAAAGCAGCGTTCAAGTTACGGTTCTCAGGCTTGGGACTGCTTGTGTAGTTGCTGAAATGGGTGCCACTCATTGTAGCATAGCCACTCTCGTCACTGGGGTGCGGCGCGGGGCTGCCCTTTGCCAGCTTGGAGATGCGGCTGCCTCTTGGTGGTGACATAGGAGACATAGCCGAAGGGCTACCCGTGGGCTCAATAGGCTCCTTGGGAGGACGGGGAGGTCCAGTAGGGGAGGTGGTCCAGTAAGATGGGTCCTGAGGAGCACCAGTAGATGATGCCTGGCTGTATCTGTTGGTGTTCTGGCCCATCTGGTTGAAGCTGGACACTGAGCCACCCCAGTCCGCGGATCTCGGTGTCATCGGAACATTGTACTCTTGCGCCGAGAACTCCAGAGCGTTGCGGAAGCGCTCTGTCTGACCCTGTCTGGGCTGGGGGTGCTGAAGGTTCAATGAGTTTCGGTGAACCTTGTACTTGGGAGCATCGCCCGGAGTGCGTGAGATTTCACGACGAACGGGTGCAGGCATAGCGCCAGCAGCACTGGGTGCTGATGCAAGCTCAGATGGGTATGCACTGTCAAGATGGTCATCGGCGTAGGGGCCATGGTTATAATCGCCATCGTTGTACGACCCCAAGCTAGAAGCGGAACGCGAAGGAGGGTAGTCGTCGTACTTGGGCTCCTCTTTGCCCTTGCCTTGGCTGGAAGCTGTCGTTCCAGACCATCTAGAGATCTTGGGGAACCAGCCTGAAAGACCAGACTTGTGCTTCTTCTTCTTCTCCGCTGTACGAGGAGTGTTCTCATTGCTCATTGGCTGAGCAACGCCAGTGGGCTGAGGAGGAGTATCAAGGGGAACAGAGCTGCCGCGTTGGAAACCCGATCGATCAGGGGTCAGCATGTTGGGGTTGCTACGCTCAGCGGAGGGACTAGGGTGATCATGCTCATATTCGTCCTCATGCTCGGCCACAGTGCTGATACGGTTATCGGAGAACTTGCGCTCGTTGGCGAGGCGAGATCGAGAGTTAGAGAGAGAGAAATGTCCCGATTGGCTGGGTGTGATTGTCGAGTTGCCTTCGGGCTCATAGCCTCGGTCTTGCTCGAAGTGACCCTCAGGCTGCAAGTTGTCGAAAGAAGGACCACGTCCTCCGCTGGTAGAGGGGGCTTGGTTAGTGCCCTGTACCTTCAGGTCATCAACTTCGCCGAGAATTTGCATAAGAATCTCCTCGATGCGCTTGAAGTCGCTAGTACCCTTGTTGCTGAGACCTTGGAATGCTCGCTTGAACAAGTTCTTCTTGGCAGCAGCCTCGTTGAAGGTATCGATTTGGGAAATGCTCTGAACTGATCGAGCACCAGGGTATGGGCGAGGACCATTGATGGCCTTCTGGAGCTTCTCAGTGTTCTCGGTGCCAGCAAAGATAACATCGTCACTGGTGTCCTGAACGAGGTTCTTAAGTTCGTTCATGGAAGTGCGCATCTCGAGAGCGGAGTTCATGAGCAGCGCCACGATCTCAGTGTCTCGAGCAGAGCGCTGAGCATCGCGGACCATGAGGTGCTGCATCAAGGACACAATGTCCTTGTTCTCAATGCGGTCGATTCCTTGACCGGTGGCCGCATCGAAGAAGGGCGAGCCCATACCCTGAGACATGCCACTCATGTGGCGAGCGTCCTTGGGTGCGTAGAAAGGATCTTGGCCAGCAGCGTTGGGAGATCCAGGTAAAGACATGTGCAGAGCCTTGGTGTTGGGTTGCAGATCGGGAGTTCGGTTATTGCCGTTGGACATGTAGCCTTCGTCGTACTTGGGGTTGTAACCAGGGCTTCCGGTGTGGTAGGGAGCCCCGAAACCACGTGCTGCCATGATGTTGTCGTTCAGTGCTGGGTTAGCAACAGGGCTGGTATCCTCATATGGGTTAGTGATGAGGGTATCTCGCTTGCGATCATCGGAGGTGCGCTGCCACTCGTCTTCATCTTGGCTGGCAGCGCTCTCAGCACGTTGTGCGGCGATATTTCGAGGCGTAGGTGTAACACGGCCCTCTGAGGCATCATCGCGGTGCTCGTTATCAAGACGATCTTGCACGATCGAAGGGTTGGTCTGAGCATCATCGTCCATGTATCCAAACTCGGGCATAGGGTTGTTGAAGTCAGGCATACCACTGGCGGCCATCTTGGGTGAATCATCGTAGGAAAGACGGTCGATGCTGTGCGCAGGTGTGTTGCGAGGTTCGTGGCCCTCCAAAGTACGCTCCTTGAAGGATTTATTTCGGAAGACGCCAGCGCCTTGGTATTCCTCGGGCTCCTCAGTGGACGATTGCTTCTTACCCTGGGCGGCTTTTAAAGCCGCAACAGCGCCAGTTGCAATAGCCACTTCTGAGGCAGTGGGAGATCTTGTTCGAGGTACCTTGCGGCCGTGCTCATCGATGTCGTATTCAGTGAAATCTTGAGACTTGTTCGACCTGGCCCCAGGCGTGGCGTGTCTCTCAGGCTCCAGCTCGCTGCCATCCCGGTATTGCTTCTCAGGGCTGGCACCACGGCTGCTGTAAGTCCTTGACTGATCATCGTAAGACAGTGCCGAGTCACGATGACCAGGATAATCGCTGTATGCAGCACTCAGCATAGAGGGGTCAAGCATTGAACCGTCTACTAGAGAAGCGACTGCTGATTCGGGACCCATGGTTTGGTGTACAAAATTGGGGTTGGCAGCAATGCCCCGCACGGCTTGTCCAGACGCAACCTTTTCTAACTCGCTGTCTTCGCCGTAGTTACTGTGGCGATAATCCATGCCAGAGCTTTGAGGCGACATCTGGTCGAGCTCCCGCTGTTGTAATGAATTCAGAGAAGGAGTTGACCGGCTATCGCGACGATCACCAGCCTGCTCATGATAAGCATCGCTCGTAGAGTGCATGCTCCTTGAGTTGCGAGGGTGATACTCGCTTCCTCCCTCGGTATAACCAGAAACGCTGGGAATAGGGCTTAGACCCCGGGCACCGGCCTGATAGGGTACGTATTTCAGAGGAGGAGGGACATCCTGAGTAGCGAAATAGGAGTTGTCGTATCCAGCCTCAGGATAATCATTGTCAGAAATATCATCCTCTTCATACTGACCCTGGCGTTCGAGAGGGTGCTTCTGGCCATACTCGTCTGGCTCATACTCCTCCACGTAATCCTTCTGACCACGGGGTAGAGCTCGCAGGTCACCTTGTGAAACGTTGGCGTGAGAGGTAGATAATCTGTTGTCGACATTTGAGGGAGTTGCTGAAGGTGTAGGGGTTGAGTTACCAGAAACATATCCACCAGGGATGTTCTTGATAGGGGTGATTTCCTCGCTAGCTGAGTGAGGTCTGTCGGTATCGGCGGAGCGAATAGAAGTCCTGGTCATTTCTGAGGGGTTGATTTCACTCATAAGAGGCATTGGTGGTTGAGGAACCACGTTGTCATCATATTGGTCCGCATAAGGATCACGACTCATAGCACGGCTGTGAGTAGATTCAGCCCTTCGGCGCCGTCGCTCCCTTGGCTTTCGGTCGCCTGTTGTGCTATCAGACAAGATAGACGAGCCAATACCAGCGGCGGCGGCACCAGCTGCCGCGCCCTTGAGCATATCCCGCTTGGGAGCGACAGAGTCGTTCTCATATTGGCGGTAATCGTCTTCAACAGAATCTTGGCTCAGATCAGAGTTGGCCTCGAGGACATGACGAGCCTCTCTGTTGCGCCTATCCTTGGATTCATGTCGTTGACCCGACGACCGCCGGCGGTCGGGTGTCAACTCGTCCTTGGAAATTGATGTGCCTGATGAAGTGAAAGAGTCTCGGCGACCCTCCCTCTTACTGGTTTCTCGCTTCAGAGCATTAAGCTCGGGCAATATTAGTCGGCGGATAGCGTCTTCGACGGTCTCAAGCAGCTTTGGATTGTTGATTGATGATTTAGAGACATCTGATCGTGAGGAATGTGCTGGGTGTGGGCGGTGGCTAGGAGCCAAATGAGATGAGACATTCGAGTCAAGAGCTGACACATTGGATTCCGGTTGTTGGCTTCTGCTGGAGCGACGGCGATGGGCTTTAATAGGCTCCTCCGTCCTCTCGGAAACGCTGCTGGTCCTACTCTTTGGTCGACGTTTTCTATCCGATGTTGACTTATCCCGCGACGAGTGTGTTGTGGAAACCTTCGACCTATCTCTGGTTCTGCTCTTGCGATTTCTGACTTCTTCTGCTGCGGCGGTTGCCAGTGCACCGGCACCAGCAGCTGTGGCCATATCCCTTGTTCCTGTTGGGCTCTCTGCCTTGGCGTCGGTGTTGTTGCCAGTGCCGTCAAGGAAGCTGTCGGATGGGATGGCAGAGATATCTGAAGCGTTGACGTTGTACGTCTCTGAGGGAATCAGTGGGCTGGCTGGCCGTCTACGTCTGTGGCTGCGATCAATCTCAATGTCAATTGGATTTCTCGAGACGTTAGACTCTTCAGTGGCGGAGGCGTAAGAGTCCATGCTTTGGCCGTCGTCTGCGTCGAACTCAGAATCGCCCAGTGGTATCCTTCGAGTCACAGAGGTGTTACGAGCGCTCTCGGTGACTTGAATGTGATGATCAGAGCGACCTCTCTTGGAAGGTGTCAGTCGGACACGAACGCTGGGACGGCGCTCTCCTGTTGAGCCGACGGTAGACTTGCCCCCTTCGAAGTACTCGATGAGCAGTGAGGTCTGAGACTTGCTAGCCTTGTGACCACGGGTAGCAATGGTGACGGGAGTACCGTCTTCGGGGATGGAGTATGAGGACTTTTCGTCGCCGGGATTCACACCATCCGCCGTTGATGTGAGGTCGGTGGGCGTGGTATTAGTCTCGGTTTCGGTAGGAGCGGGAAGTGGAAGAGATTTTCTGTCAGATACACCCATCGTAAATCTGGTGAGGCTCTTAAGTGGAGGTGTTTGGGCCCTTTCTCCCAGGAATACCTGCTGCGATCCGGATCGGATGCAGAGAAACACCGGTGGAAGAGGAGGGGGTTGGTTGATTAACGTATTGATATCAAGCAAGACATGCGGAAATCAAGACGCAGCAGCAAAGAGTGTCTGGGCACCGAGGTCAGTGTCAGCTATTCCAAGGTTCCGACGGAGCGAGAAATAACGGTGTAGGCCAATGGCATGGGGCTATGAATCGCCACCAGCGTCGTATCGACTCATGGAGCGGAGAAGGATGGAGTTGAGAGACTTACACACAAGCGACCCGATTAAAAATAAGGAAATAAAGTTGGGAACGTTGACCGACACAACTGAGCCTTATCCCTATCCAAACGGATGAAACACTTTCGACAACGAAGCTGTACTAACTGAAGTCACTATCGCTGACTCCCAAGTGACCTCGCCTCCGAAGCCCTTTAGTTTCCGTGGGGAAAATTCGAGAAGAGAGAGATTTGGGGGAAGGGTTTGGGATGCGACGTGCGGCGTGGTCGATGGTAATGGTAATGGTAATGGTGTGAAGGTGTCTCTCCCAACTCCCAAGGCACATGGGGATGTGGACCCGGTCAGGTTCTGGCGGGGAGGCTAGAAAAAAGACGGGGCTAGCAAAGTTGCCCGCAGCAACGCCAAAACCAGGGATCCAAAATGGAAGTAAGAGCAGGGAATAGGTATCAAGAGTCAGAATGACAAAAGAATGAATATCCCAGAAAACCGGATAGAAAAGAGAAAGGAAAGAATCTCAACTGAAATCTAGGTCTGATTGGGAAAAGGGGAACAGGGCAATCAATTTAGGTGCACCGTATTCGAGGGGATACAAGGGGCAGCAGAAGAACAGAAGAGGCTGGGATGCGATTTGGAGGCTGGGAAAAAGAAGAAAAAACGGGTTGTTGACAGTAAGATCAGTCAGAGTCAGGTAAGGCCTGCTTGCTTGCTTGCTGGCCGTTTTAGCAGCACCGACAAAGGACAAACTCAATCGCTGCATGCACTAGAAGATTAAAGCTTGAGTATCCGTAATCGAGGTTTAATTGTTCGATGATGCATGAATTTGCAGTGTATTGGGGAAGTTTACAGTTGTGAACAGAAGGACGGACAGACAGACACATCAGTCTATCCAGATGACCTATTAGATATCTAGATACTATCTCGACCTCCATAATCAGCTCCATCTGCCTCCTCTTGAGTCTCTCTCTCTGTGCCTGTCATTTAATCACATCTGTCCAAATCAAATCGTTCATGTCCATCCCTACAGATACAGTACATTCAAAAACATACTGCTGCCCTATCTTGTCCTAGTTCCGCGGCTGGGCCCTTGAGATTTTCAAGTTAGTGTCTTGGGGGTGATGAGTTGTCTCTGCCGAAGGGGCTGTCCAATAGCGCCGGCCCGCCGGGATCACACCTAGCTCGACACGCTATGCCTGTGGTTTCTCTGCCAATGGACGATCTCGTCTGGACACGAGAGAGAATAGGATATGCAGGAAAACTGCAGGCTCAGTCCAAGGGTAGAGGGTAAGAGAAAAGCGAGGCCCGACCAGTTCGTCGAGATCCTGACCTGCTTGTGATGTGATGTGATGTGTGATAATTCTCACTCACTCAGTCACTCGTCACCCATGGCCTCTTGATTAGTATCAAATAAGCATCTTCCGTGACTATCAAAACAGGAATTGCAAGTAGCGGTCTCGATGTTGCGTTGCCACGACCCTCATATCGAACCAGCACCAGCCACTTTTACTATGCGCTTTCTTTTCTTCTCCGGTATCAAATCGCTGATGACAATGCGAACCGTTGGGCTGCCACGATAATCTGCTACAAGGTAAGCCCTGTCCTTGCCTGGCCTGTTCGGTAAGACGATTCGATTCATCTTCGGTTTCTCTTTCGAATCAGGCCCCAGTAATCAACCCATCATCGTGCTCCATCTCCCCCAACCTCTCGCCTGTATCCTTCCCCTTCCTCGCTTGATCCGATCCACTATGTCCGTCAATCAATCAATCAATCCATCACTTAAAAGCCCGAGCCCCTGTCGGCCAATTAATCTTCGGCTCAACGCCACGGCCGAGAGCTGGCGGCTGGGGCGTCCGTGTCACTCAAGAGGCGCAAAAGAATCATTCGAGTGAGCCTCATTATTCGACAAGATCATGCATAGACTCTTGTGACGAGGCTGTGTCGGTTACTCTTAAGCGCCATTGATGACTCCTTCAAATTGTTTCTTGAAGAAATTTGAGATGGACTGGGAGTTCATCAACTCTCCGCTCCACTCATATCCGATCCATGAGTGGGTTGTAGGGCTGAAGTCTTGGAGATATTGAGCTGGCAGTCCCCGTACTCAATGTAAAACATTGCATTCCTAATAGAAGACCATGAGATTAAAGAAGCAGAGAATAGCACGGATTTATGGAGGGGGGAAAATGGTCGTCACCTACGGATATAAACGTGGTGTTTTAGAGTGTCTCAACACCACCAACCTAATCAAGTTTCACGTTCCTGAAAATCGCATCAATAATTAGCTCTTAGTGAACTGTCGAACAAATCATTCTAGCCTCTTTCAAAAAGGGCTCAACTATGTTCAGACTTTTAGAATTCAGCCTCTTCCGTTCTCGTATCCCAAGCAAACTTATGATTCTGTACTTACTAACGACCCATATATGCAGGATCCTGACCACTTTTTTACCTCCAGTATGGTACGAGCTTGTCCCTGTGCGATATATTTTACCGCAAACAAATGTGCAGCTAAGGCGAGGCGAACTAGGTATTTAGACATTGGCCCTCGTACAAACTGCATCAGAGGGTCAGTCAAGAAAGACCCTTTTGATATGCAAGACACTTGCAATGCATGGGATATCCTTGGATCTTCGTTACCAAGACGGCAATCAATTACTCGACTCGGTCTATGTCTTAGCTTTTACTTGTTTTCTCAGCTCTCAGGCTAAGCTAGGCTGTCTAAGAGATGAAATGCACCCATATCCGTGGTCACTCCTGATGTTTGCAGCAAGCCAAGAACGACATACCAACGACTGGATATATCTTGATTGGTTCGCCGCACAATAATTACCAAGTGCCATCGCATACGGAATGCCTGAATATGGTTCCTGGCTAGCTACATCCTTACTACAAGCCTGACGGATAACAAGTTGAGTTGCCATCACACTGCTCTTTACACGAAGTCACATCAAGCACGATAGTCTCGATGCTTTCTTGTAAAAGATAGTCACAGCATGTTGAGTGACACTATCCTCGATCAATGCAGCCAACCGGGCATTCTGAGGCCCCTTAGTGTCACCTACAAACAACCTCGTATAGGACTTGATTCCCGGTGGCTTGTAACATGCATATCTCCTTACACTCAAGCCGGCCGTTTCACATTTCCTTGCGTTTTGCAAGTCTTTGGTTTCCAAAAGAAAGGTTTGTAACTGGCAAACTTGAACTGTGGCTAAATATAGAAGGCGACTGTTTGGTGACGACGAAGGTGGTTCAACTGTGTACGTAGTGAAAACCAATACCAGACCGATACAAGGCATTTGTGTTGTCTGAGACATATGATCCCTGTGTTTCACATCACTTGCCTAGTTCACCAATCGTCCATTCTGAATCAGAGTCACGGGTATCTACATGTTCGAGTTCGAGATCAAAATCGAAGAATTGATGGAGAGGATATGAACGTTTAAATATAATATGAACCAACTCCTAACTTCCTTTCCGCGCATCCAGTCGCTTCCCACGCCTCAGTAAACCCCAACCAATCCATCTTAACTCCAAGTAAAGGTAAATCAATCATCCCAAACGCATTATAAATACTAGAAAGACTCCGATCAAGACCGCCGACCATCCGACACAAGAGCCGGGGGTGGCTCATCAGGATACCCAGGCGGACTATTACCAGCTTCAAGGTCTCTCAATTCCAATGGATCCTGCGTTTCCTTCTTGCCATCATACGGTGGTGGTGCCTGTCCCAGTTCATTCAGTCCTTCTTGGGACCTGGTACCATGCCATGGCGTTCGTCGATTTGATGTTCTGCCACCACGAAGTCCTCCCGATGCTGGTGCTTGAGGGCCTGAGCCAGGCCATTGGTTTCCACGGCGGCGACGACGACGTCTGACTTGGATGACGGTCGCGGCCAAACCGAGGACTAGAACGACGAATAAGGGGATGAGAGCCCAAGCAAAGGGCTCTGAACCAAAGGTGAATCCGCCGTTGTTGTTGTTGTCATCGTTGGTATCTCCTGTTGCCATCACGACTATTGCAGAGTGATGATCAAGTAGATTTTAGTTATGAGTTGATAGTCGATGTAAGTGGCGATAAGATTTTGAAGTTATCGTGGACCTGGATGCTTGTAGGAGACTCTGAAGTATGTCGATGTGTAAAAGTGACTTCCTAACAATCCAGATATGATGACTGAATCAGTTTGTGAAACGTCGGGGATCAAAGACTATTATAGCAATGACTTGCAGAGTTGTGAGGTCAGAGACTTTGATAGGGTGGCGTCATCAAGCAACCACCGGCAAAGAAGGGAAGGGCAACCCTTTGTATTTGTGCTCCCTTGACCTCGCTATCATACTAGCTTTTTTGCCTTCGGTACGCGTGCCTCACCCCAGAAGCAGGCTGGCAGGCCGCGTAGCCGATCACTCCGTGGAAGGTGACTTCATCATGGTGGCTTGGTTAACTTAGATCTAGACATTTGGTAGGTTGGATACTACCGTTTCTTCTGTGGAGACGGGATAAAATGCCCGTCGCCTGCTTTACCAACGGTCTATTAATCAGACACAGCCCAGTTTTTGTCAAGCGAATTGATCTTGCCAAGAGATTCAGCTCGGGTGATTATCAATTGTACTGTAGATCGAACCTTGACAGATGCCTCGGGGTTTTCCACGGACTAGATGGAGGCTATGCAGCGGAATTTACAGAGAACACGCTTGAATACGCAGTAATCAGGCCACTAGAATTAGTGGATTCTAGATTGGTCAACACATGTATTCCCTATTAACGACCAGGAACGTTCCCGCTGACTGTATTGTAATCAATTCTTCATTAAACAGTGGCTTTGGTGAGGCGCAAGAAGCTGCAAGATGAATAAACCATTATTTGGAATGGATCTCCTAAGCGCATGTCACTAACAGCAAAAGTGGGCCGTGCGTCATGCAAGGCTCCCTTCTAAACTCCACTAGATTTTCTGGGGAGCTTGATCCATAACCTGACTTAAACTTCATCATAACTGAGCATATCCCACGGGGCCTTACACAGCCAAGATGCCTCGCGCAATTAGAGGTATGCCCTATAACAAGCGCTTCTAGTCGTTTTTGTCCACTAACTCATCCACTACAGGTGTTCTCATCGAATGCGATCCTTCCATCAAGTCCATCATCGTGAGCATCGATAGCGCCAATCATGACTACATTATCGAAGACCTCGACGACGAGCGCGTAGTTGTCAAAGAGAACATGGTCTCCATGCTCAAAGCGAAGCTCGAAGACGTGCGTAGATTCCACAACAAACCACTCAAGCGCGCATCCATTGCGCCTGCATTTATATATACCTTGTTAAACTAACAAAACATAGCGACTCAAAGAGAACCTGCCTCCCGAGGAGGAATCCGGCTCCGAATAAGATCCCAATCCACTCGATCGACTCAGTCCTCATTTTAATACATACTACTATACTTAATCTGATAGCACTCTACGTATAACGTTCGAATAAACTACAACTTCTCGTATCGAGGCTTGGTCTTCTTCAACCCGCTCGTCAATCCCACCGCAAAGTCCCTGCCCTGCACAGCCGCCGCGTTCCACACCTTCGTATACCGCAAACCCTCATCGACACTGTGATCTCTGCTATAGTTGAGCAGCTCCTTCGTTCCCTGGACTGCCACGGGACTCTTGTCGGCAAGCGTTGCCGCCAGCGCCACTGCGGCCTGTACAGCCGCCTGCTTGTCCTGGTGGACTTGGCTCACAAAGCCCATCGACAACGCCTCCTGCGCAGTAAAATCTCGCGCTGTGAGACAAACGTCCTTGACCCACGATGTCGAGCCAACAATCTTGGGTAGTCGAGAGAGCGTGCCGATGTCGGCGGCCATACCGATATCAACTTCCTTAACGGCGAATCGCACGGTGGAAGCACAGATGCGGATATCAGCACAGCAGGCAATGTCGATAGCAAGACCAATAGAAATACCATGAAGAACACAAATGACAGCTGTAAATGTTCAAACCCCATATAAGCATTTATTCTTTGATAAACCGCACAAGTGACACTTACGTTTCTCACACTTCTCCATAGCACCAATGGAGTTCTGGAACTCTTCAATGTGATTTCTCAACACCTTAGCCTTCTTGGCCACATCGCCCGCAGCGTCAGAGAGGATCCCATCTCCAGATGCAGCTTGTACATCAAGGCCTGCCGTAAATGCGCGATCGCCCGCGCCGCTGACTACAACAGCGCGTACGTCTGAATCTTCGCTGAGTTGCTCAAATACGTGCCCAAACTCGAGCCAGACTTCTTGCGAAAAGGCGTTGAGCTTCTTGGGACGGTTGATCTCGACATGGGCGACGAAGGGTCCTGGCGAGCTGACAAGCATGTGCTTGTAAGAAGCGTATGCGGGAAGAGGCGTAGCGGTAGACATTTTGGATCGGCGAAATTAAATTGACTTGAGAAGGAACAACACTGATGCGAAAGTACAGTTATAAGAGTCTCAAGGGGATCTAAGCATTGAGACAGCTATACGGGAACTGAAGCTTGGCTGCAACGTAACCATGTCAATTGGTAGGCTAGAGATGGAGATGCCGAGGCTCATGTCAACTCTAACCACGGCTAAGATCAGCTCACGTGTACTATTAATCAACAACCTTCCAGAACACAAGTTAGTTCAGTGGCGATTCAACTCCATATCTTCTATGGCACCAGTTCATGATCAAGTTTAATGAAAGTCTATTGAATATGTGTTTTCGCACCGAACTCTTTTAACTGAAATGACAAAGGCGATAATCGCCCAGATAGCATTATAATCATTTCCGGGTCGTCTGCCCTTCCAAGGCTTGACGCCAATGCTCCTGTTGAAAAAATACGAACCGACATGCCCGGCGCAGCTAATCAAGCGCTCGTCACCAACATCTTATTGTGTTTATCATGAACCCAACAGGGAGGCCTATATCATAGCTTTGGCGGCAATCCCCACACTAATAAAGCAAAGAAAGAAACGGCGACTATGCCATTTAGAGAAGAAGGGTTCCGAAGAGGGTGAAGAGAGTAGCGGCACCGGTGACATACAGAGCACCGTAGCCCATGGTGGCAGCACCGCTGTCATCGTCTTCCTCGTTTGAGGCGGAGGAGCCGTCAGACTTGGATGTGGAAGAGCCAATAGCAACACTGGCGGTGGCAGTACCGCTGTCGGTATCGAAGTGAGAGCCCTTTCCGTTAATACCAGGACCCTTACCAGCACCGTCCTTCATGTACTTCTCAGCCTGAGAAGGCATCTCGGGGAGGTAGCTGGGGTCGACCTGCCAGACAGACTCAGACTTGGGACACTCAACGCCGTGAGAAGCCTTAAGAGCACCGCCAGTGCCAGTGGGCATGGGGTACTTGGACAAGGCCTCCTTGAAGAGATCGAACTCCTTCATGGTGTCGACCTTGTCACCCTTAATCTTGACGATACCGTAGTCGTTGTCCTCGAGGGAGTACTCGTACATAAGACCACCGGAGTAGACAGAGGACATGTCGGAGTCCATCATAGGCTTAATCTCCTCGAACTTGCGGGGGCGGCTCTCGATGCAACCAAACTCAGACAGGCTGGCAGAAGTTAGAAATAGAAAACGACAAGTGTATGAGTTTAACTTACAAGATAGGGATACCGTAGTCGGTGAAGTTCTTGACCTTGACGTCCCAGCCGGAAGTCTGGAAGTTGCTGTTGCACCAAGAGTAATCGTTGAAGGCGAAGAAGTCGGATCGAACCTCGTCAGAACCACAGTTCATGTAGTGAGCAGTCTGCATGCGGTTGGAGGCAACATCGGCAGCGGAGTAACCGACGGGGATCTTGCGAAGCTTGCGGGCCTTGATGTAGTTTCGCATGTCACGGGTAATGGCCTTGACGTAGGGAGCTGACTTATCAGTGTCCTTCTCGTCGTTCATGACCTCGTTACCGGAGAAGAAAGCGAGTGTGTTGTCGTACTTGGCGAACATCTCGACGGTGGCCAAGACACTCTGGATGTAGGCGGCGTTGTACGAAGGGCCGGGGGTGGCACGGTTGATGGAGTACTTGGGGTTGTTGACATCGAGAACAAGGTAGATGCCAGCGTCGTCGAGTGCCTTCATGCACTCATCGTGATCGGCCTTGTTGTCGACGGCGTAAACGCGAATAACGTTGACGCCGAGCTCCTTGAAGTACTTGATATCACGCTTGCAGATCTTGGGATCGGCCAGAGGATCCTCATTAGCGGAAGCACCACCAGGCTGGTAGTCGATACCTCGGAGGTAAAAGCGCTCGTCACCAGCCCAGAAAGCTACTACGGGTTAATATCCAAAGTCTTTTGTATATGGAATAATCAGAAACACTGACCATTGCCGGAAGCAGTGACGGTGGGAAGAGCTGCACGCTTGCTAGGAGGCTCCTTGAGAGTGGGAGTAGCAGAGGCGACAGCCGCCAGGGCGGAGATGAGAGCAACAGACTTCATTGTGAATTGGTTGACTAGTGCAGTTGTCGAGATTATTTGATTTCAAGAATTGTCGTAGAAAAGAGGATAGAGTCGAAAATCGGAAATCAGAAGCGTTGTAAATGAGAGTATCTGGTGAGTGGTTGAATTACAGTCAAACTAGAGAAAACCAACAGCGAGGGAGTTGGGTTTGGGGAGGAACGAAAGAAGAAGGACCGGAACAATAACGACAGAAGGCGTCAACCGGTTGAATTGGAGGAGAAAGAATTAAGTAAATCAATGGAGGGAGGAAAGAGAGAGAGAAAGAGGGAAGGGAAGGCGAGTTTGAAGTAAAGGCTGGAATGGGGTTTTAAAAAAGAGCCATCGGATGGGATGGGGGGGTACGAAGATACAATCTGGATTGGATCCGAACAACCACTTCACCTGGAAAGGCACTGAAGAAGCACAACGTGAGTGGTAGTATCAAGGGATGGATGAAGATTATTGGATCCCTGGACTGAACTGGACTGGGTTTCTTGTTCCAAAACTCGGCATTATCTTGCTCTGTCAAGTTGAAGGGAGGGGGGTGTCGCGATAATTTTAGGTCTCTTGTATGTGTCTATCTGTGTCTCTTTACGGGACGGATACGATACGTCCTATTCCAAGCATTGGCTGATCTCCATTTTCCCCGGAACATTTACGAGCAGCAAGTAAGAAGAGAGAAAGGCGCCTGTCCAAGCACATCCAAGGTGCACTAACAGTACGTGGACAGTGGATTCCTTGAGTTTTTTCTTCCTTGAATTGACTTCCATACAAATCCCAGAGGGAGCCATGGATTGGGGATTAATGGTGGGGCACATCTGGTCCATTAATTTCAGTCTCCACATAATCAGTCTAGCACACTCAATCTCAACGCCAAGCAGGAGCCATGATGATCGGTTGACGACCAGACAGACACAGAAGTTGGAGCACAAAGTGTATTGTTGCACTTATTATCCCGCATCTTGTGATACTATCTTGTCAGATGAAACGAGCAACTTGAATCGAGTTGACGTTTGGATAATGAGCTGCCATGCAGACAGACCACTGTGCAATGTTGATCCTCATGTAGTGTCGTACTTGAAGCGGGAGCCAGGTACAGGCACACACACACACGACTCACTCAATGCTAAGATAGACTCGGCCTATCACAGATGGCACGTAAATTGGTGGTGTGGTTTGCTGATGCGTCCCTTCTTCCACAACCCAACCTCTTGTTGTAGATAAACAAGGCGATTGTTGGTGCAGTTGGCATTGAAGAGCATGTTGTAGTCTAGACTAGACTACAAGAAAATGTTACTATAACGAGCTCAGTCCCTCGAAAACAGCAACCATCGTGCCGCCTCATCCAGATACCTAAACTATGTTTGTCATGTTCTCGCTAGTGTTGCCCGTGGTGCCATAGCCGTGGCCGTAGCATTCGTATACACACAGCATCTCACGTGTGTATCAACACAACAAACCCATTCATGGTACAGTAATCCAAGAGTCCAAGACTGCCCAGCCACAAACAAACTCAATCCTTCTATTTCCATGACAGGTTTAACGCCAGTGATGCATCAAAACATGCTTCTCCAACTGGCTGTTTGGTTCTCCAACCTCGAATTCACTCAATGCTAAAAGTGAAGTGGCCCACTAAAATCGAGAGTCGTCGTAATGCTTTTTCGCGGCATACTGCAGGCCAAGCCGGTACTGTCCTCCAGCTGTGAAGCACACGCCCCTTGCCCATGCCACAGCTTAGCTTCGCACCCCTTTTTTCGGCTGTGTCAAGCGCCATCTGATCAGCGATTGGCGCCTCGCTGAAACTCGTCTGTGGCCGCTGGGTCTCCTCATAAGTCAAGTAGGTACGTATTACACAAACGGCTTTGATCATGATATCCATGACTGGCTGGGGGTTTGGCATTGAATGTCTTTGATTGCTTGAAAGGTGGAGATTTCAGTCTACAAATACCCAGCTGCAGTTGCCAGTTACAAACACCAAGTATCCGTACGAAAATAACGCTTCATTTATTTCGGTACCATCGAGGTGTCAGAAGAATTGACCCCGGCGAGCATAAGAGACGAAATAACCTAGTCATCTTAGGCCAGCTTAGACTGGCTCTTAGACTGCTTTATTTCGGTATCCTAATCTTTAGAGGACAATTCTTCTGACATCCACCTGGGTGCTTCGATCTTCAGGGGCCTGCAAGTTTGGTTGGATGACCGGTTTGCCACTCCCGAGCCGCTAGACTTCACCTCAGTGGATCCTCGCCTTCGATGCTTCTTCCAACTTTTGACGCAGTTCGATATGATGCCTTGAACTGGAATAGCTCAACAAGAATTTGTCTATCTAACCAGATACGATGAGAGCTCACTTCCTCATCGGGCCTGTCAAGAAATGAATTCCTTTTTTTAGAGAATGAAAGTCTTCCGTTCCAACCGGTCTCTACCGCAATGGTATCCCACTACTGTATCTCCTCCTTAGTGAAGCAGTCGGCCTTTCTCGCATCGCATGAGCTTGGACAGTGGAGGATCAAGCCAGATGACGATGGACAAGCGCTTGGCATGGATTCCGCTTGATGATTTGATACTGAATAAATGGATACCCCAAGACTCCAAACCCAACTGGGACTGCCGGTCAAATTTCAATCGTCACGTCGATCGCCATATCATCCTTCATCCATCATCCCTCACAGCATAGCCTTGCCCTCAGTCCTCAGTTCAGCCTTTACATTCTCGCCAAAAACGCCAATGTTGCTCACCTGACCAGCTGTATAACTTTATAATTTCACTCCGAGATCTGGGCGTTAAACAAGAATGAAGGCCCTGGTGAAACACTGCTGTCTCTCATCTCATGCTTCCCAAAACGCCCAGTGTAGTGGCCCTCTTTTCATCTCAAGAAAGTGACTGGGGTTCTATCACGTCCCCTGTCCGTCTAATGCACCACTTGACGGGTCGGTACTCTATCTCAAAGCCAAGCTTTTCTTGGCTTTCTAAACCTGTTCAAGGAGCAATAGGAGGTTTCAAGTGACAATTTGACTAGGAGCCTCCAGTAAGTTAATCTCAGTCGTATGGGCAGAACGACCTGATCACTGTTGAGATTTCGTCATGATCTGTCCGGTGCTCACTTCTAGAACACAAGGGAGGCTTCGACCAATCTTCTGTTGCATAGACAGGTGTCTTTACTTCTCTAACTCTTTTCCTGTATCCAATCTTCCACGCTACGCTGTGTTAACTTGCATACAAAGCACCCTTGATCGCGGTTTCATACATCCATTTCGTTGAACAGTGGTGTTAAATCAAATCAAATCGCACTTTCTATTTGCATGTCATAAATCGTTAAGAAATCTTAAAGACCTCCTCAACCCCTTGCCAGCTTCCCTTTGCACGTTCCTCCCAGTAACTGTCTTTTCCTGTCTTCAGTTTCCACACCTCCTCGCCCTCTGGGGCGTTCTCGGCCTTGACGAACCATCGTGGCCTGTATGTTTCACCACGTTCTTCCAGTTCTCGACGTCGGACACGCTGCGCTTCCTCAAGCTTTTGTTTCAAGTCCTCGGCGTCGTCGATTGCACCTTGCTCGTATGCGCGCTGGTCAGGTCGCAGGCGGCAGTCTGTAGGTGGCAGCTTGCCCTTCTCGATCTCGGTAACCTCATTCAAGGTCGCAGCAAAAGTGGTAAAGCCGAAAGTGTTGGCAGCGTTGTCCACCAGGGATCCAACTCGCCAAATCTCCTGGCCGCCCCCTACTCCGGTTGTCTTCAAGCTGTTTGTCCATGTGCCTACCAAGCCACTTCCTGTATTGGCTCCTTCAGGGTTGAAGATCTCGACACCGACATCTTCAGTGCGTCCACCCCACATACCCTTACTCTTAAACTCAACCGCAGCCTTGTGGCCAGTGCTATCGTTGACAACATGCATTGTGCCCACAGGTTCCACATACTTTTCGCCCATTACTACATTACGCAGGAACATGGTAGCAATGTTCCACGAGTATCGCTCCTCGGAGCCATTGGACAGTCGTAGCACAATTCTCACACGGCCATCCGTAGTGATCTCGGCACTTTTGCCCCAGAACTTCTGACCAGGCGCAGGTGATTGAGAGAACGACCAGTTGGCCGAGTCGGCCTGCATTGCCAAAAGAAGAGGCCGGTGCTGGACCTTCTCGACCAAGAGCCTGAAGCCTCCCGGTACCTCTTTCTCGCTTCGTACAAGCTCAAAAGTCTCGCCAAGTAGAGGAGTAAACGGTTTGCGAATGGCGCGCTCCCTGGCTCGTCCACTACTAAACTGTGACACCGCGAAGGCAGCCACGAAGAGAAGTCTGTCAGTGGGCGAAGATTGCTTTGCCGCTTGGTTTAGCAGCTGCGCATACTCCAGCTGTTCGGCCACCTTCTGACACATTGACGAGGGTTCGTTCGAAGTGACAGGCATACTGATTGTGCTAAAATCTTTGCCAACGTTTTTCCGGAAGAACGCGATCAGACTTGGCGCCGCTGCCGCTGCAGGCGGTATGGTCGCTCTTCTCGCCACAGCTTGCTCGATGGGTAGGGGTGAGAGGGTCTTGGGTTTTACTGGGAACAAATGAGACGCATCGTCAGGATTGGCAGCGTCAGGCTCTCCTATGGATGACACGGAAGAGTTGTCTCGGAAAGAATCTTCCTCTGCCTCTTCATCTTCTCCCTGTTCTGAGCGTGAAGCCTCGTCTTCACTGTCATCGATCTTGAGAACAGCTGAGTTGGCATCCTCCGCGTCAAAGAACTCATCGGCAGTTGATACCGTGTCTATACTCTTTCTTGACACGCCGCCCGCGGACAAAGGCACCGGTAACCGACGACGCTTACTGTTGTTGATAAGAGTTGTGAACTCAGAAACAACTGAGTCCAAATCTGTCAACAATGAGTGGCAATGATCTTGGAGCGTGTTCTCCTCTCGCAAAGTGCTCTTCGATTGTTTGCGCGAATGGTTTGGCGTGGTAGCTGAGATAGTCGTCGTGACACCGCCTGGTGCGGGCACTGCCATGGCTGTTGGCGCCCCCAATGTCGCAGGAGATATCGCAGGAGTGTTCGACTTTCGTCTCCAGAACGAGCGTCTCTGGTCTGGAGGGGGTGTAAAGTAGGTATCGTTATCGTCGACAGCACTGGTATTGCCACCAGGTGAAAGATACTGAGGGGTGGTTGCCGGCGGTGGCTTTGACTGAATCGTGACCTCGCGGGTCAAACGTCGAAGCGCGTCGCGAGTTCCTACTACGCGACTGACCAGAGATTCCACCTGCTCCCATTCTCTGTCTTCTTGTGGGGAAGATTGGTGAATGGGCTGCAATTGACGTGTGTTGAGTTTAAGTTCGTTCTTCTTGGGGAGATCCAGACTTTCCAATCCTCTCGCAATGCGACTGGCCTTTTCTAGCGCATGCGCCCAATCCTGAAATTCTTTGTCGTTTGGAGCTCTCAGATGCCACACCTCGGCGCCTGAGTCGATGCTGATTTCCCGTCTTCGTTCGTCTGCAGCAACAGCAGCTAAGCTCAGAGGGATAGCGCCCCGAAGAGCAGATGACTTGGGGTTGTAATAGTACGACAAAGTGCAGGTAGAATAATCGAGAGAAAAGAATCGACGCGCATACCCTTGTCCCTTCTTGCGTCGTCTCTTGTGCAAAACACCTGTGTGGTAATTGCTCGAACTACCCTCACTCCGACCAGATACTGAAGGCGCAGCGTTTCCTGCTGCGTCATGACTGTGAAGGCTGTCTAAGGAAGCAGATGTAACCCCATCACCTTTAGGGCTGCTATGGCGTCCAAGGCTTGTTTGGCTCACTCCGGCCTTCGGTGCCTGGAGATTGGGTAAGTGTGATGAAGTCTGAGGTGGTGCTCCGGTGGGATATGTCATAACCACAAAGGTCGCGGTCTTGGAGGTTTGCTTCGAGAAGGTGTTGTCGAACACAAGGCCATACATCCCACTCTGATCTTGCTTGACATCATATGTACCGATTGAAACCTTGTCCGCTTCGCATTTGCCTATCCATTTTATCGGGATGAAACCTTTGCTCTTCAAAAGTTCTTGTGCATTTGTATCTCTCTTTGAAAAACGGCTTGCTTTGCCATCCGAGGTGCCGCCGGGTTCTTCGGATCCATTGTTCAGATCCTCAGTTGTTGAAGAGGCAAGAGTAGTGGCACCGCTGCCGGGATGTTTCACAAGGCCGAAATTGCTATTTCTACGTTAGTACTGAGCTTGACCGCTGTGCTTGCATGGAGCCTCGAAGGGGGAGGTATTGAAAGCGAATGCGTACATGGACTTTTTATGAGGCTGCACACTCCACGATAGCGTGTTCTCTTCGTCGACTTTCACCCAGCGAACGATGTACGACTGGTAAGCATTAGTTGAATGTCCAGACCAATTTATATCCGCTGCCTGTTATGGCATCCGTTATGCGAAGAAGGGCTGTTGACATGCCTTGCTGTGAACCTCAAGCTGTTCAATACCCGCCATTGTGTATGATTTCGAACACCGTGTCTCTGGATAGCTGAAGTGTTTCGCGTGGGAGACTTGTTAAACTAATCACTCGGGAGAGCGATCGGAGATATCGTGAATCAATTCGGCGATGGGTTTTCGTTCTTTAGCAATTGACCATAACCGTATCTCTTGCTACTGGGTTTGGGGTTTTTCGGAGCTTCGGAAACTGCGGCAGGATTGCGAGACGGCTCGTACTGTTGATAAAGACAAGTTTCGAGAGTTGATGTGGGATTTTGTGTGTGCAGGGGGTGGCTGACAGCTCCTCCTTGATGGACGTCTGACTCTACTCGCAGGTGTAGAAGCCAAGAGTTCCGCCTCGAATCCAAGAGGAGCTCAGGAGTATCCGTCCGTATACGTGCGCTATACGTGGACAGCTCGAGCACGAGGCAGCTACCTAAGGACCAAGCTAGTGTTTGTGTAGTCGTGGTGCTGGGTTCTGTATTGGGCCTGACAGGGGTCCTGGTCCCTGGTGGAGGGGTAGTTGACGGTAAAGCGAAGTCTGCCTTATTGCTGACGTTGGAAACGCGTGTGGTTTACAGCCACCACCGCCACTTGTAGCCACAAACCCAGTCCTTTTTTGGCTGATTCGGTGATGTACGCGAAACTATTGCGAGGATGTTATCGGTTTCAAGTGGTCGATTTGAAGGTTGAGTGGTTGGGAGAACCACAAGGATAGGCGGAGGCTGGGTAATAAAGACCCTGGCAAAAGGGTGATGGAGGTGGCTGGAGGTGGGAATAATTAACGAGCCTCTTTGCAGTGGAGGACGAGACGATCAAATATCGGTGGGAGGAATGCTGTAAGAGGTGGAATTCAACTAAGGTGAATACGAAAACTATTAAAGCCTATTCTCAAATTCTTGACAATCTTTGAAGCTTTATGAGAGTACACAAGGTTACTGCGGCACGATATGACGTTGCTTCCCACTTAAAGTGATGTAACCTTCAACGGTTTGAGAAGATAGCATCATTTATACTCCATACTTGCCTAGAGAGATTCCAATGGGTTTCGTTTCTCGAGTTTCCTTGCGGTATACACAGCATAGCACCAGAGATGCGGGTAGGCAGATGTTGATGGGTGATCTCACGTTATTATCTATTGTTTCAGGACCTGAATTCACCACGACAACTCAGGTCGTCCGACGAACATAAATAGAGCTTCCCAGGCCTGCTAGCTCCTAACATATTACCCCATGTACTGTTCTCATTCCATACGTTGCCGACGAACCCGGTTTCGGCGAGTTTGATGTGGACTTCAAATTCAGCAGGAGGGAGATATGAAGTATGTGGCTCGATTGACCTACCCTGTGGTTGATATTGGATTTACCAAATGTTCGCAGACTGTCTCTCTTCTATGTTGTTCTACCACCAGTTATGCAAATGTCGATAGCTGTGGTGCAAAACCTGTATAAACTATTATTACTTCCATGTTATCCGTACACAGACTGCACTCAGGCTGGGTCTGCAACGTCTGCAACTGTTCAACGTTCAGTTCATATTCGAGGACACTGACAATCGTTTTGCAACACAAGCAGTATTTCAATCTGCCTCGAAAAGTGAACATTAGGCACTTCCTTACAGTCCCTATTCTATCAATTGACAACCAAGAGCCATTGCTACCAAAGAACGCAATCGCGCACTATGCACTATATGGATCTGCGACTCCCGCTGTTACCCTTGAGCCTTGCTTCCATGAGATTGTGATAACGAGCGTCGGTCTTCACCTAAACCCTGTCTCACCCACGCGACCTGCCCCTGACGCCGTCGTCAAAATTTAAGCAGCTAAGGCCGCTCGTATGCTTTCAACTGGTGGATGTACTAGGCGAGTCCTTGTCTAGAACAAGTTGGGATAGCCAGACGGAACTTGACTTTACCTTAAGTGACCAGTGGATCTACTGTAAGCGGACAGCCCAGCGAGATAAAACTCCACTGTGGCTTTAGGGGACGAAGAATCCCATTCTAACTTAGTAGTACTAAAGGTCCAGGCCAGGGGCTTTTTTCCCTTGGGAGTTGGTACGGAAAATACTTTTGACTGATTTTTAGTAAATGCCTTTTTCTTTTCAAAAAAAAAAAAAACCTTTTTTTTTATATATTTGAATGTGTTGACTTGAAAAGGCGACCGACGGAGGACATTCTCATCTCACTTTTTTTCTCCCCGATTGACTGCGCGGTATTGGATTGGTGTCTGCTCCCAGTCTCCATGCCAAAAACGCAGTGTCAGGGCCTAAAGAAACCCGTGCTTCTTCCCGCACCCGCACCCGCTCTGACCTGAATCGCACGGCGCAACGAGTGCACCTCCTTCATCAACTTCTGTCCTCCATTTCCTCCTTCTTTTCAGACCCATCCGCATTGCACGATCTTGAATCGCATCATAGCGCATCGTATAGTATCGCATTGCTTTGCATTCAGTTCCGTTTCACTGTATCTTCTTCGTCTCTCTTTCACATGCATTATCACCAATAATTGCTTTTCCCGTTCATTACATCAATCTCGACAACTTGCTTCTTCCCGTTTGACGATCACCTCCGTTCCGGTCACCAGTCTCCGTACAGACGTATTCCAGTTTCCGATCGCCAACCCTGTTACGAACGACTCGAGACGGGTACACTGCAAGACGGCCGCGTTAATATTGCGTTAATTGTGAAGGTTACCAAAAAAAACCACCTCCATCTGTTCGCGCACCTGCCAATGTCGAGCATCATGAGCAAGCGCCAACAGGCACGGAATGAAAAGGCCCTTCAAGACCTTGTGCAGAATGTTCCGGGCAATAATATATGTGCAGACTGCCATGCGCGTAACCCAGGTACGCACGCCCCAGACATGGAATCTGCCTCATCATGAGGCTGTCATGTAGAATGGATAGGATTTGCTAACCTTGTTTGTTATTTAGCATGGGCATCATGGAGTGTAAGCAACCGCACCGCGTGCGAATCCAATTCCGACTAACATCTTGATTAGCTCGGCGTTTTCCTATGCATGAGATGTGCTGCAATTCACCGAAAGCTAGGCACTCATATCTCCAAAGTCAAGTCTCTTAGTATGGACAGCTGGACCAACGAGCAAGTCGATGTGAGCAACAAGAACAACCGGGGAATCGTTCCCGAGAGAGTACTCAGCTTACAAAATCTACAGAACATGAGGAAGGTTGGAAATGTCACATCGAATAACATATACAATCCCGAACATAGCAAGCCACCCGTTCCTGTTGACGTTGACGAAGCCGATTCCGCGATGGAACGATTTATTCGACAGAAGTATATGAACAATACAGTTAATGGAACCGGGAAGTCCAAATCTCCGCATATTGGCGAAGGAACGCCTCCGCCGTTGCCGCCCAAGAACTCTACCAAATTCGGATTCCGATCCGCCTCGTCCATCTTCCCCTTGTCCTCCAAGTCGAAGAAGGACGCCAAAACAATAGCAGCTGCCCAAGTCAGTCGTAACGAGTCTCCAAGGCCGCCAAACAAGCCATCCAAAGTTTTTGGCGCAACACTGGATCTCGATCAGCCAGATGAATTGGACCAAAAGATGGCTCGGCTACAAGATATGGGTTTCCTGGACGCCAAGAGGAATGCATTGGTATTGAAAGGCGTCAATGGCAATATTGAAAGGGCGATCGAGACTCTTGTGCGACTGGGCGAGGGAAACGGCCGTCTCTCTCCTTTGCCTACACCTTCATCGCGGGAACAAACTCTGCGTACATCAAGGTCTCTGACACCTCTTACACCGAGTTCTGGCGGGCTGGGACTCGGCGCAGGCCTCAGTGTTCCCTCTCGTTCAGCTACGGACCGGCCGACTACTCCGTCGAGTGCTTCCACAAACCCATTTGATAACCTAGGCCCAGCCCCACCGCAGACAGCTCAATCAACAGGAACACTTCAGAACCGGAACCCATATGGCCAGACAAACCCATTTGGAATGCCGGCACCTCAGGAGCAACAGTCAACCGATGCTTTCAGCCAGGCATTTCAAAACATGTCACTCTCTCCACAACAACCTCTGTTCCCTCATCATACCGGAGGACCGGCGCCGCAGCAGCAGCCGACAGGATACCAACAAGTAGCTCCTTCAGCACCCACAACCCCTGGTGGTTTCTCGAGCTTGGGATTCAGTAATAACATGACATATCCCCAGCCAATTCAGGCACAGTCAACAGGCTACAACCCTTTCTTCGCGAACCAGAACACTACAGCTCAGCAGCAACCGCAACACTCGACCAACCCATTCCCTCAAGTCAACACAAACCAGGCACCTGCAGGATACAACCCGTTCACCCGATCTCCAACTCGGATAGCATCCCCTAGTCTTGGTCAAATCCCAGAGCAAACCCAGAGCTCTTTCCAGAACCCATCTTCGTATCAGAGCTCTGCAGTATACCAGAGTCCGGCGCCCTTGAACCCTCCAGAAACCACGACCAACCCGTTTTTTACCAATACTGGCCAGTCCGTAGCACAAACAGGCCAGCAAGTATTCGGCCAGCAGCCTCCCATGCAGCAGATGCAGAGCCAGCCTCAAGCGAGCCATAACCCATTTGCTCAACAACAGGCTGGACAGCAGTTCTACGGACAGCAGCAAATGCCATACATGCCACAACAGCAACAGCAGCAGCAGCAGTTTTACCAGCCTCAAAGACCAGACAAAGCCTCGATCATGGCTCTCTTTAACAACTATCCCCAGACGACTGCCCAGCAGCCAACTTTGGAGTCGACACAGCCTTCGTATCAGACAGCGCATGCCACCCAACCACAACAGCCAACCATACCAGAGAACCAAGCTATGCAAACACCCATGGCTCCTGTACAGCATAACCATAATAATGTCGCTTCTCCTATGTCATCTGGCACGAATCCGTTTATGAACAACGCATCCGTTGTCAACACTATTGCGAGCCCGAATGCCACAACCGCTTCGGATCCATTTGCTGCACGCAGCAGGGAGAGTATGAACCTTGGTATGGATCTTGCATGGACAAATGGCCGGCACAGCCCAGATGCATTTGCGAGCCTCAGCGCACGACACGGTTAATAGGTTGTATTGAAGTACAAGTTGCATTGGAGTACAAAGATGTCTAGGATAATACATATATGACATGGAAGATGTGGGAACACTGTATGATAGTATTTTAATGCCGCTTTTTGTCAGTTGCTTTGACGAACCTAGTACAAGTTGCACCAGACTATCAGATTCTTGTGTAATTGGACACGAGAACTTTGTATGTATTGGCCTACCCGGCCTGATTGAGTATAGAAGGCTATAGGTTTGACAATAATGATACAGCCAAAGACGGCGTAATTTATGTAGTAGATAATGAATGGTAGACAAGCTCGCTCCCCAACGGAGTGAAGTTGCGGAGATACTCTTCCGATCAAATACGGTCAGGGTGCCAGATGGTTCACTATAGCACGGTAGGCAGAGGCTAGTCTTTCTGCAACCATTGAACCTAAACAAGTCACATAGTTCCTTGGGGATAAAACCATCATTTCTCTTGGGTGTTATCAGTTCTGGTTGTTGTGGCTTGTTCTGAGTAACGAGGCACTATGATGCTCACATGACTGATCTCGCGAGGCTAGTAGACACAGAATGCGACGGTGCAAAGGCCAAGTTCGAAATGAGTATTTGGGTTGTTGATCATCTATCTCTGGCTGCATTTTTGCTGCAGCCAGGATGGGTATTTTGACGATGGCTCGGTCCGGATGCATTCCCGAATAGAACCAAAACGCGGGGTTGGGCATGGCACCACCATGTCGGGAACATAGCGTATCCACCAATCAACTTACATGACGCGGGTTGTTAGCCCAGAGATAGACAAACACATGAGTTGGTTTAGGCTGTGATGGATTATGTTGACTTGGCCGAGGATGCCGCCTTTATTATACGTATTGCATTACCTGATGCTCCGAGGGGGAAGGATCATGAAGATTGCATAGAAAATAGTAATTGGATCCAGTTATCAATCATGAAAATATTGATCATGTGATTGATCACTGTGGAGGTCGCCCCAGATAATTGTAGAGCTCTAACACTCAGACACTGTAGAAACTTCTGTATCATGCAAATCCGGAGGAACCCTTGAAATCCCCATCCACCAGACACAATGTATTGGAGCACTGTGGCACAGCGTAGCGGCAGGAAGAGCTGGATACAGTAATTGCTGTACAGTGACATCCACCCATCGAGGTGTTTCTTGTGCGTCAGGGTGTCAGAAGAATTGGGAAGCATCATCTTACAAAGACAAAGATGTGCGCAGAGAATTCTAGATTCTTCGTACTGGCTAGACTGGGTAGGTGGCTAACCCATTTGCGTGAGACAGTCTTGGAAACGTTGTGTGTAACGGTGATATGCAACCAGAAAACCCTGGACGTACATACGATAACTGAGCTAACGAGATATGTATGTAACCTACCCTGATAAGTCGGCGAGCAGCTATTCATGAATTACATTTTGTTTGGTCTTTGCATGATTATGCAGGCAGTCGGTTATCGTTACTCTGTTGCCAGCTGGCGATTAACATCCATTCATTTAACCAGTAGTTCTCACCATGTGCTGCGGAGGCGTTTGTTTTAGTGCGAAAACGTGCACTAGGTTTACAAGAATGCTTGGCTATCCAGGTAGGGTAAGCTAAGCAATGATTCATCCTGATCAGAGATGAGTTGAAATTCCGCCGAACGATAGTGATGCGAAAGTATAGAGCACGAATTACCAGATGCTCAGCAAGTTGGTGGCTAGATGACGATATCTCTTGGCTGTGATCAACAAACAACGACCAAGTATTTCTCTTTTTTGCTCGGCTGAACTCACATCAGCGTTTGCCAAGATAAGAAAGTCGCACTGTACTGCGTCTATCCATCCACTGGACAGTTACCCCGGCTGCCAGCGGCCAGTCTAAGTGCGTGTGGCAAGCGCTACCTCCACTGTGGTGCACAAAATTCCAGAGCCTCAGGTGAGGGGTCCACACACAACGCGCTGTTGCTCCTGCCCCGACTGCCCCGAGCGTCAGATTTCTGGGCTTCTGTCTTTCCCTCCTTAAGGCCTGACACACAGCACAGGCTCAATTCTTATTTATCCTCGCCCTCACCGCTGCCCAAACCTTTGCACCTTCACATTCTCCACGAGTTACCAAAAGCAATCAGCTACACGTCGCCGCACGTATCCACAGCTTGTTCTCCAACACTTTCGCCTCCAAACAAACAAAACAAATTCTTTTAAAGGGATTTCAACTCGCTCTTCTCTCGAGTCATCACAAATCAACGATCACTCAATCTCCGACGATCAATAACCTCGGCCTTTTCCAAAACCATCACCACTTTAGTCGATATCCAGGAAACATCATCAGCAATGGCGCCAATGAATAATCAGAATTTGAATTACAGTAGTAATTACGGCGAGGCCGCTGCCCAGAAGGTCAATGTCCTTGCCTCTTGCTACCTCGTCGACTCTGCCGCCAACCTCAAGGGCCTCCACTACTGCACTACCGGGGTTGCAGGTACGTTATCTCCAACAATCACTACATCTGCGCTGTGATGTTAACTCTATTTCAGGGGCCGAGTGGTATTCCTGAGGTCCCTTCCTCAGGATTACCCTCCCCTCCGACAAGTCCCCCCCTCGCCGCATTAACCTCGTCCAACGAGCTCGCCCTCTTGCCTAAGAACAAGAAGCGCGAGATCCCAGGCCGGCGCCTGGGCCGACGAGGGGGGGCAGCACTTTCGATCAGGGAAGAATGTGAGAGATTCTTTTGCGAGTCCATGAAGGCGACTTTCCACGGTGAGAGGAATTCGTCGATGGATGGCTCCGGCCTGTCGGGTGCTTATTTACCAACGCCGCCGTCCGATGACCGGCTTCCCGAACACTTCAAGCCTGTTTCCGATGACAAGCTATCTGCCTACGACATAACCGCTTGGCTGGAGATGTGGGACTATGCCGGCGGTGCGAGCTTCCGCGCCTTTGTTGCTGACGATGGAGAGGAGAAATCTCTCTTTGTCTTCTTCGATATTGAAGGCGTTCTCGGCCGAGACCTGAAAAAGGCGTACGTCCCCAATGCTTATTCCCAACTTGTTGCAAGCCACTAACATGATCTTCCAGTCTTATGGCCCTTATCGAACTGGCTGACGGTCCTCTGGACTGTGCCCACATTGTTACATGCATTGACAGACGTATCCCTGCGGACGACGCTCACTCTCTGTCAAAGAGCCTTCAGTGGGTTGGCTTCGACATGGTTACCCTCGATCACTGGGCTCATGATCTTGATGTTACGAGCAAGAAGTGGATGATGATGGGTATGGAGCTATAGGTACCAAGTTGCTTCTTTCTCTGTGGAGTTTGGGAGTGGATGTGTCCTTTGTCTCTCTTATGTCATTTTACGTTCGTTGGTGTTTTTCCAAAATTTAGTCTGGAGGCTCGCTCGGCGTTTCGCTTTGCTATTCTCGAAGGTCTGGTAGCACTGGGCGTTGAGTCGTAGAAAAGTTCAACACACCCAAGGCTTTTGGCGCATCTCCTTTTCTGTTGATGGATTTTCAAGGTGTTGGAGTGAATAGGTGTCTCTGTTATACTGAAACTCTTAAGGTCATGGCTGCATAAACCAGCTCATGCCTGCTAGTCGAAATTATACCAAAGCGATATTTATCAAATTCAAGAAGTTGTCTATACTTATTTTTTGTTCTATTTCGATTTGTCCTAAAAGCCTTCTTCAAATTGTCTCACCTTGAGACCCTTTTCTTGCAGGTAATCCTTTACCTGTTTCACTGTGTACTCGCCTCGGTGGAACATGCCAGCACCCAAAGCAGCATCCGTTGTAGTCTTTTGGAACACATCTTCGAAGTGAGCAGGGTTACCAGCTCCACTAGAGGCAATGACGGGGATCTTAACAGATCCCTTGACCTGGTTGATGAGCTCAAAGTCAAATCCACTGTTGGTGCCGTCCTTGTCAATGCAGTTCAGGAGAATCTCTCCAGTGCCCATTGCCTCGACAGCCTGCACAAGCTCGACCACATCCATGTCGCGAGTTTCACGACCACCCTTGATCGTACAGGCATACCAGCAGTACTCCTCACCCTTGGGACCGGGGAACTGTGTCTTGACGATGTTGTGTCGGGTAGCATCTGGCTTGGGAACGTAGACGCGCTTGGGATCAACGCTCACAACGACGGCCTGGTTACCATATGCGCGTGAGATCTGCTCAATGGCAGTGTTGCCAAAGAGCTTTCGACCAAGAGAGTAGTACTCCTCGGCAGCAAGGACAGCGTCAGATCCAATTGAGACCTTGTCAGCGCCGGACTTGAAGTACATGGTAGCAATCTCAAGTGCTGAAACCTTTGTGCCATCGGTGTCCACGGTATCACGAATACCACCGCCAATGGTCAGAGGCACAAAGACAGTACGGGATGTCTGACGAACAACCTCGAGCATGGGAAGATCAGCGACTGGGCAGTCCCGGAAAGATGTGATATTAAGGAAAGTGACCTCGTCTGCACCAGACTCGTAATATCGCTTAGCCATCTCGACGGGTTTGCCCAGGTTACGCACGTTGCGATCGTCACCCTTCTCGCGGACATCGTACTGGTCACCCTTTGTGACAACCAAATCACCTTGGTCATTTGTGCGTACGTCTAAGCATGCAATGACTCGTCGTGTGAGGCTGTCCTCGAACTTAACTGGTGCATTTGCGACAGCCTCGTCAACAACATCACCGAGTGTCTTCAGACCCTCCCCTGTCAAGAATGCACGAAGAGTCTTTAGACCGGCGGTACCGGACTTCTCTGGGTGGAATTGAGTTGCGTAGATGTTGCCCTTGGCGATGGCACCGACGAAAGTCTCGGTACCGTATGTGCCAGTCGCAACACTCCAACCTTGTGACTCAAGCTCCCCTTGCTTGTAAGGGCACTTGTAAGAGTGAACATAGTAATACTTTGAGTCCGGTTGGAGGTCGTACATGGCCTTGCCACCTGTGAAAGCGTTGTTCCAGCCAATGTGAGGTACTGATTTACTTGAGTCGTCGAACCGATCCAAAGTAGCTGGTACAACTCCGAGACCGGGGATGTCAGGATCCTCGACGGAACCTTGGAAGAGAGCTTGCAAGCCGACGCAAACACCGAAAAAGGGCTTTCCTTCAGCAATGTGCTTCTTGATAGGCTCCGAGTAACCAGCTTGAGAAAGCTGGGAAATACAATGGCCGAAGTGACCGACACCGGGGAGGATAAGTTTCTAGAATGCATCAGCCATGATGGACATAAGACAAAAGATAGTCTCGTCGAACCTCTGCCTTGGGAACGTCCTCGGGCGATCGAACCCATTCGACCTCATATCCACACTTTTCAATGGCGTTCACCAGGCTCCTGATGTTGCCGGCAACATAGTCTAACAGGTGCACAGTAGGCATTTTGTCCTGGAATAGATGGCACAGATGCAAAGAAGATGGAAGAATATAGGCTTTAGGTTCTTGTCTCCGAGGTGGGTAATGATTACGGGTTAAATGTGATATGAAAAGAGTACGGAGAAGCGTCGAATGACTCAAGAGAGTGGTGATTTGTAAATGTCAAGATATGACCAAGTCCAAAACCCAATAAGACTCATCAAATGTTGCAATCCGACCTGATAGCGATAGCGGGGCAGTAGTGAGCCACAGAAGCTGCCCCGCCTAATCCCTGCAACTCTGGACTTTTCCTTAGAAAGTGCCGCCCCTGACCGACTTCGAGGCCTACGAACGACCCCAATTGGTAAGTACCTTGGCCAAGCTTAAAGTTTCGCGACCAAACCTCTGTCGTTGTCAACGAACCGATTGTTGACTTTTCCAACTCTTTCACCATCAAGTCCCAGAATCGCCGTCGCGAAGCCGTTTTTATTTGTTGAACTGATACAGTATTGATTAATCTATCGCACATACTGTTCGCCGTTCTGTCACCGCTTTTGCACGACCTGGCGCATACCGTATAACCATGCCAGACGAGGCAGAGTTGGCCGAAGTGGCCGGCATTGTCGAGGTTGAGGAATCGCTAGAACGAGATGAACAAGAAGAGTGGGAATACGAATATTCCACAACCGAGACCGAGGTACAATTAGACCCATGGGAAACGCCTGCTGTGCACAATTATCTAACTGTTGCCAGACTTATTATATAACACTTGATTTATCATACCCCGAGTTCAAGGACAGGCAACCACGGACACCGCATCATAGCAGAGGCGGATATTACAAAACATGGCTTGATCATAACCCCAGTTGGAGAGGACTTCGCGCTGCAGAGGACATGGAAGACGACAACGACAACGAGCCTTTACCAGAGCCAGAGGCTGACGAAGACGAGCCCGAGATCGATCCAGCCCTGACTAACGACAAAGGCAAAGGAGTTGATCGGGGTGATGTAGTGGATGATTCAAAAGAGAATGGGAACAAGGCCCGCGACGAGACCGAGGATATCCAAATATTGGAACTACATTCGGCACATCCGATAATATCGTATAAAGGTCGAACTTTCGAGGGCTCATGGGCAGAGGTTGTCGGCTCAGAAGCCATATTCACATCACGCGATAACGAGAACCCCTTACCAGCTCTACGCCATCTGGAAGGGAATGTTGACTTTCTGGGTGCTTGTGCATCGAGGATTGCGACCAAAGAGACTATTGGCAAGCCCAACATCATCCGCGAAGACCCACTGGCTGCCATCAGAGAGGAATGGAATATTCGGATTCCTGTCGGAAAGGATAGATCGGGAGAGCGAGCTCAGCAGACACGGTTCTTGGAGAATTTGATGGCGCTGAAGAAGAGGAAGGGCGAGACAGATCAGGTCACCGTATGGGCAAAAGATGGCGAGGGACAAAACTTCAAGGACAACAGAGACCCCGATTACAAACCCAGGCGGAGGAGAAGATTGCTGAACGAAGATGGGGAGGAGGTTATCCCTAAACGAGAAAGGCGACGTCCAAGTGGACGACGGGGTGGGCGACCAAGGCTTCGAGCTGGTCGTGGTCGTGGGTCAGAGGCAGGGCCAGCCAGCTTAGGACAATATACAGCAAGAGACCTGGAGGGTTCCTACATGGAAGGAAATCTATCGACCCCGACCCCAAGTCGATGGAATGAGCTGTATGAAATGGACCAGGATGATTATGAAAGCGAGACGGATGACGATGAGGATGAAGACATGTCAATGGCAGACTAAGTACTCGGAAGGAAGTTGCGGCTATAAATGCTGCAAATGAGATAATGATACCCGTGGTGCAATATTGTCCACACTGAATAAAAATCAATATGTATACCCCATCATACAACCTGGCTTTGACTTGGAAACGAGCGATGATGTGGTTCATACCAATACTACAAGGATTCAGAGCACTTGGTAAAGTTATGGTTGAGGCCTGATGAACCCACCATTGTTCGAATGCTATGCAGTCGACGTCCGATATGAATAGTCGAGGTTCACAATGATCCGAGTTCTATCGAGATGGGGCATGTTCTACATGTTTATAAGCACCATGTAGAGGCGGTGATAGAATTAGTTGGGTCTAGAATCACTCTGCCTGATTGCACCGACAGTATATTATGTTCCAGTTTGACTTTGAATTACCCTTTGGAATGTATCGTAATAAGATTCTGTATTTGTAACATCAAGCGGCTCCTTGTCTGCCTGTCTCTGCTTGTAGCTTGTGTTGCATCAGAATTCCAACATGACTTAACCGAATATCAGACGGCCGTAGCCAGTGATATAAGCTCGTGGCGGGATCCCGTGAGTGACTAGCCCAGCCATGTATCCAGTGTCCTTCGCTCTTTTATAAAACTGCAACCAACTCGGCGCCAGTAACATTCACAGTACATTACAATGTGCCGTGACTCGCAAAGACAGAATGACCATGTCACTCAGCGCCGTTCCCCCACCTATATATCCATCCTATTTATCCAAACAGTCAGACGTTGGAAAGGAAATATCTGAAGTGACGGTGAACTAGCTTGAAATAGTTACATCTTTCAATGTGACAAAAGTTTCGTACTCGGGACTCTACACAACCCACTGCGCCTCTGAAAAGTTCCGTTATTTCTACCCATAAGTGCCCAGTATCCCCCTGTGAACAAGAATCAAGGCGGGCCTGCGTGTACTTCTGACACGATGTTCTAGCCAGTCGGCGTATTCCAGGGTGACAGTTGTGCTGGGGTTCTTGGAGGAGGCTCTGAGAGGGACGAGAGGGGAAGCCTGTCACTTTTTTAAGTGGGGTCTTTACGCTAGAACATTTCCACAGGAAGAAAGCACATGGGTCTACAGTTTGTTGTCTTTGGCTGCCATCGAGAAGGTACTTAGGTAGGAATGCAACGCATATGAAACATTGAACAATTGAGTAAAGTTAAGCTGTGACGGGCCGATGTCTCGGTCATTCATCTTTTTAGAAGATGCTTTAATTGGGCAAAGAAACGCCGCATGAACATCCATCCCATGGATGTCCTTACCCCAGATTCATGGAAAGGCATACAACTACAACTACAACGTATTCGTACTCGACATTTCCGCAAGCCATTGCCAATAGCAAAGACACAGGGTGATCACAATGGCTCTGCAACCTGCAACAAGTTCCATTGCCTAAAATGGAGGTAGAAGGCAAAGTACCTGCATTGCCCACCCCTCCACTGAAACTTGGTCTGACCAGTTACCGCACACTCCGCCAATCCATACCCTTGCCCGCTGATCAACGACCAAACGATGGCGCGCGCTTCTTCTCTTATCGATTTAGTCTAAGCCGAAGCCTTTGTCTTCTTTTATTCTTCTCTTCTTTACCTTTTTCTCCACGACTCTTTCGTCCTGATCTCCCTCCCCCAACGACATGCCGCGAGCGGTGTGAACTTGTTACTCTCTACCCTTCGTTCGTGATGCCTGTATAGCCGGTCTATCCTGTCTTATATCCTCCCTCCAACCGCTTCCGGTTTCGCTTCCCAACCTTCGATCCTCTGTTGCGCATCCTACAGTATATGGGATTGTGCTATCCATCATTATAACAGCCATGATTTGGTTGCGCCGCTTCTCCGTATTGCTAGCCTTTATGCTGCTTATCTCGTTTGGCGCATGGCTACTCCCACGAGTATTAGACCCAACGGACAAAGGCCCCGAAAGGCGAGCAAGAGACCGACGTTGGGTCAACAGCAGTCCATACTTTCTGGACCGTCAGGCCTGTCGCTGGATCAGTTTGTGTGGACTACACCACTTGCGCAAGGACCCTGCTACCCGTGGGAACAATGATGAAGATGAGCCTGAGTGGGGAGACTTGAAGCATCGTTCTCTGGCTTGGGAACCCGAGGAGATTCCCCGTCAAGATCCCAAGCGAAATACCAACCACCGTCGCCGTATTCTTCGCGATATCCCCGACTACGTTACTAAGCATGCGCCCTTGGTTCATTTGTATTCTGGGGAGGAGTTTTGGCCTTCAGATATTCGTCAGCACGTCGAACATATGACTGCGTATGCCGGCGAAGAACTCATCAACTCAACTGAGGAATGGACTCTCCACAATCTGCATAAGCTGAACAGACATCACGGCAAGATTAACCTTCGAAGCAACGACGATGTGGAATCACGGCCCAATTGGCTACATAGTCACTACAACATTCCAAAGCCATTCCCGGACGATCACAACGGCGAGGACTTCAAAACGCCGGTAGGAAATCCTGGGGGACAACCAGAGTCTCGAGAGCCTAGCACTTGGTACGATGTCGACAAGAATCGCCCTGTGCACAAGATTTCGGATCCTCGAAATCGTAAATTTCAGAAACCCCGTCGCTCAGAATCTTATGGTCACAAGCCAGATGAAAATGGCTATTCAGCCGCTCCAGCTGTACTAGTTGTTGTTGATAAAGGGTCTGGTATCGTCGACGCCTTCTGGTTCTTCTTTTACTCGTACAATCTTGGTCAAACTGTCCTGGGAATTCGATTTGGTAACCACGTGGGGGACTGGGAGCATTGTATGGTGCGGTTCGAGCATGGTATTCCACGAGGTGTGTTCTTCTCAGAACACGAGGGCGGGCAAGCATATGCTTTCGAAGCTGTCGAGAAGCGCGGAGAACGACCCGTCATCTACTCGGCCGTTGGATCGCATGCCATGTACGCTCTACCCGGAAAGCATCCTTACATCCTGCCTTTCAAACTTCTTAAAGATGTTACAGACAAGGGGCCTCTATGGGATCCATCTCTGAACAACTACGCATACCATTACGATTACACGAAAGACGACAACCACAACCCGAAAGATATGGTGGAAGAACCTTTGAGCCTTGTTCCGGCAGCCTCGAACCCGCACGCACCGACATCTTGGTTTCATTACCAAGGACACTGGGGTGATGAAGTATATTCTCTCGCTGATCCTCGTCAGTGGCGCTTCTTTGGTCAGTATCACTACGTCACTGGCCCTGAGGGACCCGTCTTCAAGACACTCGACCGCACCAAGATGTGCCAGAAACAAAAGTGCAGGATTCTTTACAACCTTGATCCCACAAACACATGGTATTAGATGAGATGCTGCAATCTCGATTTTGCGTTGCTTCATTAGCGTTGATGCAAGGCTTCATTCGAAGCCTTGATGATATCATTGATTTTGGCGAATGTGTCGCAACGGCGGACCCTGTCATGGGTCCAAAATTCATACCCTCCCGAGCGAGAGGGACTCTCAGGATAGATCGGGATGGTATTACGGCGTTTATTCTTTCGGGTGTCCATTTTTGGATAGACTTCTGCTTCACCTTGGTGCAAAGACTCAAGCTGGTGGGCTAGAGGACGAGGTTGGTTGGAGAGTTTCGTCATGGGCATTAATACCCGGATACCACGTGTGTATACATCAACTTAGACATATCCTGACTCGTCATTACGATTACGAAGTATAGATTTCTCAGCAATGAATTTACGTTTGCAATTCCAGTCTGCCGGATGATTGCTAATAGCATGAGCACTGTGCTTGCGGTTTGTATAATCATGAACCATGGGTAAGTGCGACGCACAAGGACTGCAATGGCCGATGCTCATACAGCTAGACAAAACTCCAGTCGTACCTAGCTTCGGAGCATGGCTTGTTACAAACGAGACAGTTATCAGCATTGATGCGGCTGTTTCTATGCACATACCACCAAACTCGCGAAGTTGCCGCCAACCAACGTCAATGCACGACTCTCGGTCCAATGTTCCGGAAGATCATGACCCTGTCATTAAGCCATAATGCTAACAAGACAAGCTCTGTTTCAACTTGTCTCATGAATAGTGCCGCGCACACGCAGCCGCGTACATCACTGCTATTGTAGAAAATGCTTCTCTGTGGACATAGTCACAAGCTTGAGGATGCTGAGGATACAGTGATACCAGCTGAGGCAACTATGGTTTGACGAAGCGCTTCTGCATTTTGGCCAAAGCGTCCAAGTCATGCATCTTAGCCGCCTGAAGAGACGGCAGAGATGGCTTCCAGGATGCGAATCCAGTAATGAATATCCCCAAGCGTTATGTTTATTACTATCCCGTCTTTTAGAAATATGATATACGACTCAATTGATGTGTCACACGGTAACAAAGACCCATCATACCAGATCAATCGCATTCAATGGCCCAAAAAGGACTGTGTAGTAAGTCTCGCAGAAGACGAAAAAGCAATTCATATTCAACCATTCTTAAACTCGGATCACATAAATATACGAGGAACCTCTTACATTTGAGCTGAGGTATAAAAAGAAAAACTATGTTTCATCTTTTTCAAACGCCCAATGAAACGGCGCGACGAAATCCTCAGCTGTATCGATTTGCAACGGCGCATATGCAAGTGTTCCCCCTTTTGGCAAGATGGCAACTGTCACTTAAACCCTATCTAGTATCTATAATTCAGGACGTGGCACGGCAATATCCCACTAATGCAGGTTCTTGTAGACTGAGAGATCTGGCGCTCAGGAGGTTTGTCTTGTGCCTCTGCGTTATTGGTATCCAGCGATTGATATAGATAACCGTGTCAATCAAGCTTAGCTGGACATGTTAAGCATTACATACCGTCAAGAGCGGGAGATCTGTGCTGTCCTTCCATAGTATCATCGAATAATGCAGATCTAGAAAGGGAACCAAATACAACCTTTCCTATACTCGTATATCTTATATGATGTCCTCTATGTATCGTCTTTTCCTGTTACAGGAACATCACTATGCATAATCAGAACCGGTCCAACGGTTGATTCATATAAATTATGCTTTTTCGGGATGTACTGGATCCGAGAGCAACCCTTGCTTGTCATGGTGCGCTCAAAACTTGTTACGTTGTCTCCTATCGGAACTCAACGATGACTTGGTTAATTAATTAATTACAGGACAGGGTCTCTGCCAACTGTGCATGCCCCTGCTCTCGTGCCATCCACCCGTTTTCATCGATCAATGAAACGTAATCAGAGAGATGCTGATCTTGGTGTGAGTTGAGAGCTTCTATGCGACCCTAAGCAACATGGCCAGAGCTTTTGGAACGGTGAGACCTTCTGTCCCCTTGAAGGTCTGAGGGTCAAGGAATCTTGAGGCCCGCTCTTCACCAAGAGCCGGTTGTTTTATCACCGGGTTAATTCTTCTGGTTGTCTCTTTTTCTCCTTCCAAAGAAGAACATGTGTGCCGCGGCCAAGCTGTTCTCAGGTGTAGTGGGTTCAGAGATGTGCTTTAACCTTCTTTGGCCGCCAGTTTCCGAATTCCCTTGTTTTAGCGCGTTAAAGCTCAATGTTGAATCCTCCGTTATGACTTAGTTAGAACATCTGATCGTGCTCTGTGAAGCATTGGATGCTAGTGTGTGTAGTTGTGCTGTTGGTGGTAGTTAGTGGTTGAGGTGATGTGTCGTAGTGGCTGTAGTTGGGCTTAATGTTGAGGACACTTTCAGGTTATCTTGACAAGTCACAAGCTAAAAATGCAATCATTGCATATTATATGTAGCTGCAAGTGACCACTCTGCCAGTTGAGTTTGAGGCTGAGGAAACAAACAATCAACGTGGAATTAGTGAGTTATTACAAGACGGTTCCCCTATTATGTGATGTGATGTGATGTTGAGTGACATAGGCGAAAGGAAAGGTCCCTGCAATCGACAACGGAAATGAGTGGAGGCATCTCGGGGATAGAAGAGAGGAACTCCTGCAGTATGAACAAGGGTTGACCAGGTTTCCACGTTGTAGGAAGGGGAAAAGCCAATGAGAGAAGGATGTCGTGATCAACATGGCTACGTATTAGGCGACTGAGAGATGAAAATCAGAGTACGGCCGGACTTTTTTTTTTTTTTTTTT